GATAGGTTATAAAGTATAAAGGCATATTTACTTAATTTTTGGGATAAATATTCTGCATGAGGATTCCAAGTCAATCTATCATCTATATGGACTCCTAAAAATTTTGTTACAGAAGTCGTATCTATTATTTGGTCTTTATACATTATTAATATATTTTCTGTCTTTTTCCTTTGGTGAAAATGCATGACTTTAGTTTTTTGTAAATTAATTATAAGATTATTTTTATGTAGCCAGTTAATGACTGACTCAAGTGAATTGTTTATTTCTTTTTCATAGTTGGTTCTATCATCGCATTCAATAGTCACTGTGCTGTCGTCTGCAAATAGGGTCATTGGTTGATCAATTTTAGATGGTAAGTCATTTATGTAAAGTAAAAATAATAACGGGCCAAGCACACTGCCTTGTGGCACTCCAAATTTAGTATCTCTGCAGTCTGATAGATATTTGATCTCACGTTTAGATTTGGTACAAATTCTTGTTATTTCTGTCTGTTGTTTTCGTTCAGTGAGATAAGATTCAATTAAGTTTAATATATTGCCTCTTATGCCATAGCTATAAAGTTTACTTAAAAGAGTTTCAAATTTAACACAGTCAAATGCCTTTGACATATCTGTAAATATGGAACATATTGGATTCCTTTTATCAATATTATTCATTACTATTTTTATAAAGTCAAATATTGCCATGTTGATATTTTTATTTTTCATAAATCCTTTTTGCTCTTGGCATAGTATTTTATTTAGAGATAAGAATGAATAGATGGATTCGTATATAATTTTTTCAAATATCTTTGAAAATATTGAAATTAGAGCTACTGGCCTATAATTAGAAATGTCCTCCTTATTATTCTTTTTAAAGAGCGGTTTTATAATAACAATTTTTAGTTTATCAGGATATTTCCCTGCGCTTATACAAGTGTTAAGTATATGACTTAAAGGTTTTGCTATAACGTCAGAAACATACTTAATTACTGCAGTGGGGATACCGTCATACCCATAACTATGTTTGTTTTTTAAGTTTTTAATCACGCGTATAATATCCTGAGGAACTACTGGATGCATAAATAATGATTTTGGAAAATTGGGAATATTGTACTTTATCTCTGAATCATTATTATTAGAGATATCTTTCACTTGATCTATGAAAAAGTTATTAAATGAATCAGCGATTCGTTTAGGGTTTTTTATTAAGTTACCCCCCATATAGATTTGTGTTATTGGCTCTATTGATCGATTTTTATTCGAATTAATAATTTGCCACGAAGCTTTGTTTTTGTTTTCTGAATTATTGATTTTATAATTATTTTGAACTTTTTGAGTGAGGTTTATTATTTTTTTTAATTTTTGAGAGTAGTTTTTAAATGTGTCTTTATTTTCACATGAAGGAGATTTTCTGTATTTCCAAAGCAATTTTCTTTTTTTTCTACTACATGTCTTTATTCCTCGTGAAATCCATTTTACTTTTTTGAATGGCGTGACAGTAATTAATTTATAGGGAAAGCATAAATCGTACAGTAAATAAAATAAATCAATGAACTTATTATATGCCCCATTTGGGTCATTAGATTCGAGAACCTCTGAAAATGAAAGGCACTGAAGGTGCTTTTTATATAATTTTAAATTACCTTTTGATAAGTTGCGTTTCCTAATACGCCAGGATTTTAATACACAAGTTTTACTTACATGTATTTTCATTATTTGAGCTGTATGATCCGATAAAGCAAAATCAATAATTGAACTTTCACATTTCTGTTTATAATTATGTATAAAATTATCAATGCAGGTGCCACTTTTTATTCTAGTAGGTTCTTTTAATTGCAATTTAAGATTATAGTTCAACAGAAGGTTTTCAAAATCTAACGATAAGGTGTTTCTCTTAAGTATATTTATATTGAAATCTCCACATAAGACAATTTTTTTGTTGACATTGGTACATAATTTCTGTAACAAATTTTCCAAGCTCTCCATAAATACATCTATACATGACATCTTAGGCGGTCTGTAAATGCAAACTATAATAATACCCTGAGTACTTAATTCTATTGCACAATATTCAAATATACCTGTGATGGACTTGTTAGGAATTTCCTTATACTCATATCCATTTTTTATAAGGATACAGGTGCCCCCTCTCTTCTGCATACTTCTTGAGTAATATGTCGCAAGTTTGAAATTTGGTATGTTTATTAGTTCTTCTTGACCAGATATGACAAAGTGTTCGGTAATGCATAAAACGTCAACGTCTATATTTTTTTCAGTTTGTAGCTCTTGAATGTGCACCTTCAATAAGTCAGATTTATTAAGAAGCCCAGCGACGTTCTGATGCATTATGTACATGTGTTTATTGAAGAAAAAGCTGGTTACTTTGCCGACCGCCCTGAGTGCTTTCTCTTTCTTCTTCCAATTCCGATAGTTGCTGATCAACAAGGATGTTGGCCATGATTCTATTATATATATTTATCATACCTTGTCTGTTCACTCTTCCCGTTTTGTAAGAAAACATGTCGATCGTTAGGTCCCTATTACAATCAAAGATATATGCGTAATTATTGTTCTGCATGTCTAAGTCCATGAGATTGTTAAACATTTCTACTTTGTAGTTGTAAATTGGTGATCCCGTTATATATATAGGCAAACATAGCACTATGTTGGTGTGCACAATTTTTCGTAGTGATTCTTTTATGTCATTGATTACGCTTATGTAGTTTACATCCCCTCTTATATCATTTTCTCCGATAAAAATAAGGCAGTAGTCTTCAAACGTATATTGGTCCAGCTTTTTGTCAATGTTTTTTATAATGTGTTTTGTGGTGCTATTAGGGTACATGTAACGGCAGTAATTAAAGTGCTCAGAGAAAATGTTTTCAATCAATGGCAAAGGTTCTAAGACGTTGTTGGTGCTCAAGATACACATTTTATTCTTCTTTATAGGTTTTGACATGTTTTTATCACTACCATCATCCCCGCTTATTTTGTTTGGCGAAGAACTTGGGTCCTCTTTATTTGTTTCTGATATTTGTGAATTTGTGTCAATGACTGACCTCTTATTCGTTTTCGAAATAGTATTTGTAGAAGAAATGTTTTTTTGTTTCTTTTGGCAGTTCAACGGAGTAGAGATTTTTAAACAATTCTTTCCGTTTGGAGTACCTTTGTTACCATCGATGGAGAGTTTTCTGCTTGCTTTTTTTACCAATTCATGTTTTATGTTCATATCATAAATTGTCTGAGTTAATTCCGTATTGACTATCGACAGATTATCAATTTCGTTATGCGCAGCGTCCAGTTCAGCTTTTAACCTGTTTATTTCGTTCTTTAACGTCTCTATTTGATCGCAGTTTTCTTCGTCTGACATATTTGGTAAGCTGTGAGAGGTGCCATCTAGTGTCATGTTGTTGCAAGATAGGTCTCCCTCGTTCAATGTACTGTTTGACAGAGACAGAGTGCGTTGCATTGGTTTTTTTCTGAAGATTGTAACATTTTCGAAGAAATCCATATTTAGTATTATTTAATTTTTTTGTAAACTTCAAGTTGAGTTTCTGTTTAAATAGTTCAAATAATGTTATTTGTAATTTCAAAAAGTGATCGGTTTTGCGGGAATCGACCCAGGTTACAAGTGATCAGCAATCCTATTGCCTCAGATTAGAGACAACTCGACACTTTACAAGTTGATCGAATTTAAGTATCTGTTAAAAGTATTAGAATGTTTGAGAACATCAACTCAAAGTAATGAGTATTCAAATTTGAATTTGAAGGTGACAGTTTTTTTTCTTTATTGACACTTTTGCACTTTGGTTTGTTTTTGTTGATTATTAACCACAGTTATTAACCAAGAAATGTTTCCTCATTCCACTAAACTATTTGTTTTACACTGTGTTTTTATTAATTGTTACAATACCGCCACCGTTTTGTTTTATTTAAAAAAATGAGCAAGTTTACTGATCAAATTGTTACAACACAAAAATCTTGTTTGATAATGTGAGATTTATTGAGATAACACTTCCACTCACTAACTGCACTATATAGTTCACTGTAAAATCACTTATATTACTTAATTACTTGAATTACTATTTTTTACAAAATTTATTCACGGAGCTTTGTTTGCACGGCTTGCAGCGCCATCTTGTATCCCTAAGTGTAAGTGCTGTGATAAGGCCTTCTGATTTAATAACGTAGACATTCAGAACTCACTCGTAGATTTCAAAATTCATAGGCACGATCTCGCACCCAAATAGAATTCAATGTTTCGCATTTGTTTTGGGAATAATTATAGTCATAACCAGTATCACATTAAACTGTCTATTAAAAAAAGACAATGATCAACTATTTCGGCGATTTTGACAGTTTATTATGATTCTAAATAATTGTTTTCTTTATTTATGTTTTTAAATTCTTTACGAAAATGATATGGTATTATTGGTGTGTTACATTTATACCACGATGTAAAACCTGACCTACAAACGAGTTTTATTATCATACTCCGCTAAGACAGGTGTATTCTTCCCTTTCATTATGTATGGACCATATTTCTCTTGCTAAGTAAAGCGAACGTGAAAAATGCTTTCCAGGGACACATCAATCACTTTCGCACTTCTCTTTATAATATAAATGTTGATGAGATGGAAAAATATTCTTGAATTTATCATTAGCCTACTTTAGATGCGGTAAATTAAATACGAGATTATAAATTTCCTAGCTCTTAAAAAGATTTATATGTATATACTGTAAATAAATATGTATTGATGTAGGTATATGTATTCCACATTATACTCGTAAAGACATAAGCGAAGTTAACATTTTTATGTGATATGTCGGTAAATGGGCATACGGATTACCTGATGGTAAGCAATCGGCGCAGTATATATGTTATGTCTAAAAGAGTTACGAGTGTATTGTTGGCTTTTTAGTGATAAGGATTTTAGAGACATACCTTTAAATAATAAATAAATGAGTATAATATTGTCTACATCTATTTGTTTTAATTGTATTTTGTTTTTGTTGTAGCCCCCATCCGAGGGAGAGCTGGCTGCACCGGCTAGTGTGGTCAGTCGTATGCATCGCCTTAGAAACCTGCGCAAGGGCACTAGAGTGAGTATTTATTTTTATTATTGTTAAATACACCAGAAAGGCCACCGGAATTTCTGTACTTCGATATATAATAATAACACTTCGATATGTAACAATTATAGATTGAAATGTGATTGAAATATGATCTACATAGATTAAGTACATCATTGTTGAAGTACGAGTAGTATTTGGTGTTCCACTATTTCAATTACGTACCTTAGATAACACTTTGTGAAATATTCCTTCGTATCAAACAAAGTCCCTTGCTTTGCTCCTATATCCTTATGTATGCTTAAACCTAAAAAAGTACGCAGCAGATTTTGATGAAATTTTTTTAGTAGGCAGAGTGATTATATAGTTTGACTTATATCTAAAATAACATCCCTTATATAGAGAGACAATTTTGTGTCAGCTTTGCATTCATACGAAGCTAGGACCAGTAATTTATGATAATAACCAATTAAAATCTTGCCATTTTTTTTCATTAGCCACAAACGCTGTTCAACGACAAAGGAAAGTACCCAACGTTGACGAGGATGTCGTACTGCCAGTGTCGTCTGCCTCGTGTCTTTAGCAGCGTGTTCGAGAGGTTTGGCTGGGCACACGTCGCGTTGCTACTCGACAAGTCAGATCTCTTCTCTTTAACTGTCGGTAAGTTTCTTTGTGTTCAAAGAAAAATGTCTGTCCTTTAATAAAGGTATAATGGACAGAAATACTTATAAGTAGAAATGTCAGAAATGTTTTCGTTATTTACGTTTCATTGAGTAATCGGAATTATTAAGAATTGTTTTTTTGTTAATCTGGAGTTAGATATTCGAACATAAGCAGTAGAGTGATACCAGGGCCACACAGATAAACGGCAAGAAACAACTATTTTTGTTTCGCCGTATGAGTGATGTTACCGGAGGGCCAAACCTTCGTCTCCGCCATCCTTCCCTAATCTCAAACTCAATCTCTGAAACCATAGTCCCCAAAAGTCAAAACTCCGGCAACGCACTCGTTACTCCTCTGGTATTACAGATGTCTATGGGTGGTGCCCATTGCTTACCAACAGGTAATCCGGATGCTCGTTTGCTGAACTATCACATAAACAATTTTAATTATTTTCTTAAGAAATAATGCTTTCCATAATATATTTCTTATAAGGCTTCTCGAAATATTACATCGCCTATATTTCAGAAGTGTTTCGCGTTAAATTTTCGGCTGTACATACCACGCATCACCTTGAACGTTGTAAAAGATGCAGGATTCCGGGAGATGCGGCATCCCACGTCATGTGGGTGGAATGCTTAATACGCGACCGCATGGTATTTTAATTTGGCAGCTTTTTTTCGAATGAAAAGCAGTATGATCAATATTTCTTTTACGATATTGCGTTTTCTGCAATTTCTTTCAAACATTTCTTCAGCTCGTGGATCTAGCTGATGATGATAAAGAATAGTCTTATTTAATGGTTTAAAAAATTTTACTATTAATCTGTATTAAAACTTAATTTTAAATGGATGTGTATAGAGATAGTTTATTTATTTTTCAATAACATAAAGAGTATTGAATATTATGTGATAACATGGCCTAATTTATTTCAAATATGTTACAGTGTGATTCAGTTAAATGAATAGGAATAAATATGTATGTTATAGAAAAAAGATAGCCATTTTTTTATGGTATACATACGTCGGCAAACGAGCCGACGGATTACCTGATGGTAACACCAAAGGAGATACGAGTGCGTTGCCGGCCTTTTGGGGATGGGGGTTGAGGATATAAGGATTGGAAAAGGATAGGGGAAGGGGAGGAATTGGGCCTCCGGTAACCTCACTCACATGGCGAAACACAACGCTGATGGTTGTTTCACGCCGGTATTCTGTGAGGCCGTGGTATTACTCCGGTCGAGCCGACCCATTCGTGCCGAAGCATGGCTCTCCCACACTTAAATGTTGTTGTTTTTACAAGCAATAGATCCACGAGACTGTCCATTTCATACTAACGCTATTTACGTTCCGTTGGTTTGATCCTCACACAAAACAAATATTTGCCCGAACTGCAGATTCGATCCATTGTTTGTGAAGTTTGTAAATAAACAAACAAACGTACTATGACTATATGTGTATATAGTTTCTTGCCTAACATTATATGAAATCAAGAGTATTTGGAGAGTGGGTAATTAACTTAATATAAGACATTTTTTTCATGAAAAGAGAAAACCTACTAGGTACTATACATGAAGTAAATGTAAAATAAAGAAATCTGTTCTATCATTCAACAAAAAATGGAGTGAAACAATATTCCGTATATAGGTACTAAGGGTGACAAAAATGCATGGAGAGCTTAAGGTCGACTATTGACTGACAGGTTTTGCATAACGCTACCATTGATAACTAGATGGCGCTGCTTTTAAATGAAAATAACCCTGCAAAGCTTGAATACTTTACACTGCAAAGGCACACAATAAGGTTTTTAATGGTTAAAATAATAATTAAGAAACAATAATATATTTATATTCAAATACACATAAATTATGTTAATTTTCACATTTCCGAGGACTTAATATAGCGCCATCTAAGTCAAGTCAAGCAAACCAATTAAAAGATGGCGTCAATAATTAATAATAGACAATAATAAAAGTTATAAACTAACCCGCATTTTCGATGTCATTAAAAATGCGATCGGTAGCTCGGATAAATAAGAATGATAGTTTAATGAAGTCGAAGGGCACCGGTCCAATTCCGGGTTATCATTTTTAAATTCAGGTTTTTTAACAATGTTTTTTTTATATTTTTTATATAAAATCAATAATAATAATATATAAATTAAATATTTGACGTTTAATATTTATAAAAGATAACAAAAATAAATAAATATATTATTTTAGAATAAAATTATATTAATAAATATATATAAATAACTTTTATAATATGTGCTAACTATTAATGTAAAAGTAACATATTTTTCTTACAGATTAAGACTAATACTAAGTTTAATTCTCATAAAGGATAACAAATAAAACTATTTTAGTGACATTTTAATTTCAGACATTTATTTCTTAAAACATAATATTTATTTCTTTCTTATATAGTGTATACCCTGACCTAATAACTTTTCAGCTAACTGACACATTATTTATTACACTTTTTATAAGATTAATAAGTATTTTAAATCAAAATTGTGTTGTGCTAGTCATTTATTAGTTAGTTCTAAACACAATGTTATAATACGATTCTATATAATATGCAACCTTACTTCTGCAACTATTTTACCTCCCCATAAAATTTAATTAAAGTATTGACTAAAGTGATTCATTTTGTGCACCATGTTATGACAAAGGCTCATAGCTTAAGTATTCGTTCCAGAACAAGGAAGAAATTGAAGCTAGACCTTAAATCAGTAACATTTCTAAGACCGGGACATAGCATTAACTAGATATGGGACGAATTGTTCATAGTAATTAATAAATAAATAATTTATTATTTTGCAATCAATTTTATTTTTATTTCTCATATTTAGTAAAACGTTAAAATCATTACTGTATAACAGTCGCTGGTTATAAAGTAGTCAATAAATTTATTCTACTAACACTAAGTTTGAACATTTATCCATTAAATAAATTATAGCTACCCCGGTCTTGTAATTGCTTAATCCTATAGTCAACAATGTCTTTTCTTTTAAGAACTAGTGTAGCCGCCATTTTTATCGATCCTATTTCTCCTATCTCGCTCGCCAAGAAATAATCCGTATGTCTGATTGCTGACTAAACACTTGCACAATTATGGAACATTACACATAGCACAATTTTATTATCCTGCACGAACGTTATCACTAGCACATCTTCATGACGTCTTTCAGCACATCTATGTAGTTTTCACTGTTTGCATCACTGAAGATGACAATGCTCCAGTAATTTTCCTCATAACCTTGCCCCATAAGTTGAAACTGGTCTGAGTCAATATCACGTCTTCTGCCAGATCCACTACGGTGCTCCAATGAACCCTCTTCTTGAAACAGCTTTAGATATCCATAAAGTGGCAGTCTTTACCTGTAACGGACGTGTATTATTTATTATTTTCATGTATCGATAACCATGGATAATAATATAAATAATAAACGGTCATTTATAAGAATACTTACGTTTAAGCCAGTTTCTCTAGAAATTCCAGTATAATTTAAGCTTTGATTATGCAATGCTATTATTTGGGCCCTCGTAGCCATATTAACATTTGAACGCAAATTCATAATAAAAATAAATATTAAAAACTTGTTAAACAAATCGTGACTGAACTCACTCAAAGATAGTAAAGAATGTTATGATTGAACAAAAAGGTTTAATTTTTATACAGTTAATTTTAAATTACCCTCAACTGTTTTGAGATTTATGATCGGGTTATAGTTGCTAAACAACTTCAATATAATAAAGAGTAGGATAATTTCAATACATTTCAAGGTTACGTAATGGCCTAATGGCTAGTGGCACCGGTTAATTTTATGCTACCGAGTTCGAATCCTGGTTACTGCGTGCTTTGCTTTAAAAAGGTTTGGAATATCGAAGCATTAATTTGTATAAAAATTTATTAAGTTAATAACTTTGTATCTGATAAAAACTATAATTGTTTATTTTTCAATACCACTAGTATACTAGCGCCATCTATGTCGTCCATGGTATATAATTAAGGCGATGAAACGCCGTACAAACGATTTTGATTTAGAATCATCCATGCACTTATGACACTGATAGTACATAGTTACATATGTATGTATATTAAACAGAGATGAAATGAAACAGAGATATCTCGCTCAGCAATCGATAAGGACGACTCGAATAAAAAATAATACTTCCTTGTTGCAAATTGGACAATATCCGTAATGATAGTTAATATTGAAAGACTGAAAACAAAATTACTGCTTTATAATTATAATCCAATCCATGGATATACAACCTTTTTCATCAACTGATCTCTTTGAACGATTAATCGTACGATAAAATCGAAATTTAATTTGTATTTCGAATGTTTGGGATTGCGGGCCATGGGTTGGTAAGCCCTGATCTAACCGATTGATTTCCCCTCAAATCCGTTTGGGTACTAACGTGTTTGATCATTTTGAATAGCACTTGAGTATAGGTGCTTATTACACTTAGTTTCGTGTTTCTGTGTTTGTTTGATGCTTAATTAGACTATGTGACTGTGAGATTCTGTTGTTGTTAATTGTTATGGCAGATACGCGTTTATTACCATGTTTAGGTACTATCCATTTAGTTGAGGATAGTTCTCTAAGTATACAGAACATGTGTTGTAACTGTTTTTTTTTTTCTATTCTATGGTCCCTTCAGTTTCTTGTTGCTGATGTATCTGGTATTTTATCGCTAATGATCGTATTTCAGTTCAAATCGTATCTTCAGTTTCTGATGCCTCTGGCATTTTATCGCTAATGATCGTATTTTTGTTACATATGAGCACGTCTCTAGTTGTGTTTTGTTTTTGCTAATAGTACACACGACGAAAAATATAATAATTTCTCTGTACGTATGAGAGTTTCTAAATCAATTAGAGGTATTGGAAGATAATGCTTAACTGATAATCGAAGTATCAATTAAGAATAAAAAGAACGTTACAACTAGTCGTACCATTTCAATCAAAAAATGTTTGTGTCATATAAAATAAAATTATATCGCCTCAGACTACAATGGCATTGAATTTTTCAGAAGATAAAACAGCATTCTCAATTTAAATGCAATCAAAATGAAAACTCAAAGGCTATCAGATTATCACGGTACACTAAACCTATTACTAAAATCTCTAAACGCGTCTGATTGTACAAAGAGATTCGTAATAAAGAATTTTAAGACACAACCAATTTACAGACTCACCGTTAAATGTCCTCTGTTATGTGATAAAAGGATTTTTTTTATTACAAACTTTACCTTTTTTTATTACCAAAATGGGCTTTTAAAAGCTTAGCGAGGTAAGGTACAGAATACCTTGTATTCTGAAGTTATAAGGTACATAAAATGTTGCTTTATGTTGAGAGGTCATACGTTGTTGCAAGCTACTTCCAAGGAAGGTGGAATTTATGGGGTTATTCCTTGCACAATATAGCACAGTATTTGTAGACTTGTTTTGTATTTAGTAATGGAAATTGAAATGTATGAGTAACACTCGGTTTCCGAAAGGCCGATTAATGTTAAAATCAATTTAATCTCTTGTCAAGTCATCTGATTGGTTGTTGATAGTTCAGATTTAACAGGAGATTAGTTAATTTTAGCGTTGACAAGCCTTTCAGGAACCTGGTGTAAGAAACTTAAGTTAAGTTTTATGAAAATATCTAGTTTTCATTCCGCAAAGTAACGCCTGTTTTTGTAAATTATAGAAACTTACGAGTAAGTGTTAAGATGTTTCGAGAAAAAAACTGGTGAAGGAACAAAGTAATATTGACCTCATTGTACTCGTAATTTATTTATGGGATAGGTCGGCAAATGGATTACCTGATGGTAAACAATCGGCGTCGCCCATGGACGCCCGAAATATTTTTTATTGGACAGGGCGGTAATCAATAGTAAACGCTTAGTGTTATCGATCTGGTGAAACTGGATCAAAGTTATTCCATGTATGTAGCTGGCCATTAGGAGATTTGAAGATAGGGGGTTAGAAAATGGAACTGAAGGGCGTGGGAAAGAATTCAGCCTCTGATAATCAGACGAAACACAACGGGAGCGTTGTATAACGCCGGTTTTCATGGTATCACTTTGGTTGAGCCAGCCCTAAGCATGGCTCTCCTACAGTTAATTATTTGTTTTACTACGTTGGCAACAATTAGGGTCACATGTATCACAGAGAGATCTAGTAAAAGTGGTTTTCTAGTTATTTGTTCGATTATCCCTTTGCTCATATTGTATTAACTGTCAAAAAGCTAAATAACTAGACTTCATTCCCCATTTGTAACACAGTAGTCCTATGTCCTTAGATTTGACAGATTATACTCACGAATAGTATACTTATGCAAAAACACAAAGGTTGTTTTATATTAGCCATCTTATTTTTATTTCGGTTTTATTACATCACGCAGGTAAAAGCCTGGAGTGGGGACTTCGGAAGAAAGGAGTCTTGAAAGCCGTGAGGGAACTGGACGGCAACGAGAGGGAGTCTTGTGAAGCACTACTCAAAGATGTCAGCATGTACGCCAGAGGTAAACAAACCTTATGTAAATAGACTTAGGATTCATATTGGTAAGAGCTAAACATTGTAGTCTAAATTTGTGGAATGAAGCGTGTGTTGTTATTTGTATTTATCTCAGGACGTTCTTCATTTGTTTTATGGTATTGTTAGTTTTGTGTTAAAGAAAACAGTTTCATTGTTGAGCTTATATAGCTTTTAATTTATTGGTAACAAGGGTTATTTTTATTTGTACATACGAAATGTAGTAAATACGAAGCTGAATCCTTTTAAAACTAAGGTTCACTTAGAATGTAAGGTTATGTATGAAATTTGACACGTTTGATTTAAAGGAATATTCCGACTTCCTGGAGCAAATCGATTTATTCAATAGGTTATTATTTTTAATCCTGAATGTAAGTAGTGTGTTAGGTTTACAGAGTAAAATATTTGGATTAAAACTCAGTTTGTTCTTTGCTTTTTAGTCTTCACCAGCAAATAGAGAAAACATAATTCTGTATAGGCATTTCATTTAAACTTATCTTCGATTTTCAAATTAGGCTCCTTAGTTATATTTTCCTGTCCACCCCTGTTCAATCAGATATTTATTTCGTAATAACTTCTTAATTGACTGTTGGATAGAAATACAAAATAAAAAACTAAATAAATGAATAATGTTCTTTATTAAAACAATTAATGTATAAAGCGTTCGACATTTAAATAATCGGTGTAGGATAGCGTTCGAGAGTGCTTGATTCCACTCGAGTCGGTTGCTAGTTTCATAGAAAAAATAATAAGGTTATGATATCGCTGCGTCCAATGTTCTTTTTATTGGAAAGTGCAAACCACTGCTTCCAGAGACTGTGGGTAATTGGAAAACTGACAGATATTACCACTTTTATTTCCTCTGCCGCTCGTTATTTTTCCTCTTTGCACTTTCAGTCCTGTTTTTTATTAAAATTGATGAGATTTTTTTTCTCTTGATGGTAACTGTTGATTTACTGTGTTTGATTTATTTTATAACTTTTGTTTTGTTTTTATATATAGGTAGGTAGGTGTATAATTTTCGTGTTTTGCATAAGACATTATTAAAAGGTCTCTTTGACTAATCAGCAAGGAGTATATCACCTCAAAGGTATATCTATAGTTATGTTTTAATACTGTATAAGCGTATAATAAGGTAGAAAGTACACTAAGTTTGGGAGCGCATGGCGCGTAGCCGTCGCAAACGCGACAAAGAACCAATAGGCGACGGCGCGATGTTCAGCAGGGATTGCGAGGCATGGTCAATAATGTACCGCAGTCCTGGTCTGGAATATGAGAACGAGGGGGGGGGGGGGGGGGTTAGTCAGTACTAGTCTGACATGAATCTTGTCCAACCCAGGACACGAGATCATTTGATGATTTTCTCCCGACAAAAAATAAGTTACTTGCCTAAATAGTTTTTATAATACTAAGTTATAGAAGTAAATTAGCAAGATGCTCTTAATTTGCTCTCTTTTTAACTGTGTTAGTACAAGTAATATTTTGTTTTATTATTTTGTGCAGTGGTAATACTGAGCGTGCGTGGCTCGCTAGTGCGTGAGTTCCTATTGGCTGCGCACACGCTTGGAATGACGCGCGGTGATTGGGCCTTCCTCGACGTTGAAATATTTCAGGTAATTTTTTTTTAAACTTTTCTCTCATACCTGTATTATCTCTCGTCTCCAGACCTAAACTATGATATGTCGACCACAAAGAACTTTTCCGTACGGGGATCGAACAAGTCTTGACTTCAAACTTGCTAATTAAAGTAGAAGTATAACTAAAATATTGTTAACAATTTAATTTGTTTCAACGACGCTTTCATTGGCTAGCTCAAAGTTAACCAACCAATCAGAGGGCTGTTTCCAAACTATCGCGTTCATATAAAACACACGCGCATTAGGCATTCAGATCCTTTCAAGGACAGCAATGAGTGATACGACTAAAAAAATCGTCGTGCATTTTCAATTATAAACTTTAATTAGTAAAAAAATATTCATTAAATTAATATGCATATCTCGTTGCAAACTTCATTTCATCAAAAGAAAACCAAGGTTGGTTTGTCTTTGAGTATTTTTCATTAATTTATTTATTTAGATCTTATTTGAACTCTGATATAATGTACAAGTTCTGAATGAGAGATTACGTTCGAAATTTGAATATGTTTCTCATTCAACAATAAATTATTTTCAATTATTAATATAAATGACGATTCATGTGTGTTTTTATTTTAAATATTTTGTGGTCCTTATAGTTTTGGTCCTAGTTTGGGTGTCAAGTGTATCTGAACTCAAATGTTTGTAAATGCAACTACGACACGGCAACATGTTTTTAGTTTTTATAGTAGAAGTGGTAACTATATAGGCGAGAATATAATTCTGTAAAAATAAATTAGAAAAATAATAGTGTTACAATCAATTTCAATCCGAAAACTAACAGTATCATACAATGACAATAATTATATAAAAATGGAGTGTAAACGTATACTTATTAGTTTTTGAACATATTATTCGGTTTATATGAAAATAATAGTATTTAATTTTCACGTATCGTCACGTACGATCGCAGTTTTAATGATTTTCGATATTAATACTCTGTGGGTTTATGACAGTATGACACTAGCGACCTCTAGTGTAGACGTGCAAAAACATGTTGTTGCAAATATTTATGATGAAAAAGTTTCGACTCGCCGTTGCTTTTAATAAATTAAATGGATTTGTATCATAATGCCTACTAAGTGAAATTTGTCTCGTCATGTAGTCGATCGTTCATAGACTTCTGCAACATATTTTTTTAATATTTGATTATATTTGTTGAGTCGATCCCACGAGCACTACGTCTCCGTAATTGTTTTTACAAAAAGCGGTTCGGAACAAATATTAGGAACCTCAATATAATTTTCAAATACTTATTATTTAATAAGTCAGAGGATTGGCAAAACATTTTTTGACTGCCAGTTCTAAGTATCGGAACCTCTAAAACATATAATATGGTTTTTTTGTGTGATCATGTTAAACTTGTTCACAGAATACATTCAGGATCTAACCAAGTTTGAACAGCATACTTTAGACAGACAATAATATCCGAAAAGGGTTTTGTATTTTTCCATTTGACTACAGACCTAGGTTTTTTTCCAAAATAAAACATCTTCGGCCTTTTAGATCACATTCAGACGCCACCCATAAGACGTCTCCAATCCCGAGTTTACCTTGAAACCCGGAACCAATCACAAACGCATATACCACCACAGATTATCTAAGCTCATCTATTAATTCTAGAATGCGTCCCTTCAATCAAGCTGTTATCAGGCATTCTACACACGCCTCCCTTGACCTTTCAAGCGAAGGTAAACCTTCATACTGTTGATTATAATGTTCAAAGTTGTGTGTATGTTCATGAACTTGCTTTTCCCCATAATGTTCTTTTTCAAGGTGCGATTTGCATTTGTTTTGGAGTTTGATAAGTGGAGGTTTGTCATTTGATTATATGAGAAGAAAGGTAGAAAAGCCGTGCATATTATGCTGAAGTTGTCTAAAACAATTTTTGTTTAGCTATATATAAATGTTTGGTTAATGATCGAAAAAAGTTATTCGGGATTGAAGGATAGAGGATTTGAGGATTGGTGGAGGATAGGGAGGGAGAGAGAATTGGGCCTCTGGTAACCTCACTCTCACGGCGAAATACAACGTATATTTATAAGTGTTGTTTCACGCCAGTTTTCAGTGAAACCGTGGGATCAGTCGGGTCGAGTCGGACCCGTCGTGCCGAACCATGGCTCTCCCACACTTAATAATGTTGGAATACATTCGTAATCAGTATGTCACTAAGCACTTTAGAGTTGAATGTCATTTACATTTCAATAAGGGAAGGGTTCATTCTAGTTCAATTACGCGATTCAAGATTTATATAATATGTCATGTAAATAATGCGTACGTGTATTTGTAGTACAATTAATAGAAATGTGTGAGTATGAAGTTTCTTGCTACAAATTGAACGAGCACCTATCTTCACTGACGAACAGACTGACAGACATTCCACTTTTATTGTTGTTTCAAAAGTTCCTATTTATGGTTTAGTTGGAATAAATGATTTTCACTTTGACTTTTCACTTTATATCATGTTACCGCTGATGAATTCCAAAAATAAATACCATGGTGTAAAATATTGTAACAACTTAAATAAATAACATAAGAAAAGTACATCCTTTTACCATTTGATAATAGGTACTGTAATTCTGATAATCGTTTTATTATGATCCAGGGTGGGTATTGGGGAGAGACGGGCTGGGCAGCTGATGATGAGAGGGACACTGCAGCTCGAGCAGCCTACGAAGCCCTACTCCGAGTCTCCCTCAAACTACCAACAGGAGACAGATTCGATGAATTCGCTGATGCAGTCAGAGCTAGAGCCAAACAACACTATAACTATTCATTCTCTGATGGAGAAGAGGTAAGTTTATTGATTTTTGAAATTTATCGTTAAGTCGTAAGGTGTATAATGAGTTATCTTTATTCTGAAGGTAGCTTTACTTTCTTGCAAGTACCTACATAGAAAATTAAAATATTAATAAATATTTCCAAAAAATCTTAGTCATCAATAAATTTAAATTTTATCCTTAATTTTTAATCTAATTCAATTTTTAAACATGAACGCCGTGAAAATATACCCTCAAACGTTCTGAAAATGACTTTGCGTTAAAATGAACGCCCTTTATATATATTTCATGATGCGGAACAAAACAATGGGAGCGCCAGTTTACAAACAACAAGCGATGGTATTACGAAATAAGTGTTCGGAGAGAAGGAGGAAAAAGTAGCAATGAATTTGTAAATTACGATTTTACGCCATATAGCCTGTGTATACGCGCTTCGTGTCGACACTCGTGCGTAACTCGTATATAATTCACTTAAGTATTAACATACACTCTTAGTATATATATATATGTCATGTGGTGATGATCTGTAAGAAATTGTGACACTACATTAAGTTATATTTACTCAAGATTTTCCTGTAATTTTATAAGTGTACATTTGTTGATAAACAACTAAAATTAAAAAAAAAACTACCCAAATTGAACAACCGTGTGCCTAGTGCTAGTTTGCATCGCCATGTTTATGACATTCGGCGTTCTGATTGGCCTGCTTCAAGTTAATCAACCAATCACAGAGCTAGACGCGTTTACTATTCCGAACGCGTTCTAGAGAAGAAAATTCAAACCACTCGTATGAATATCCTTGTACATTTACATATCCAGAGAATAAGAATTTTTTTTTGTTGTCAACATATCCAAATGATACGCAATGGTATTGTGTTGTAATATTTCTTGGATCTATTTCAAATTATACAATATAAATGAGGATGGAATAGAAAAGTTTAGTCTCTTGGTAATATAATAAAAGTATCTAAATAAGTTAAGTATTTTATTTGTTTGAAAAAAACGTTATAATTTATTTCTTATTTGTAAGAAAGAAAACTGTTTTTATTCGGAATTATACATGAAGGCTAAATACTGTGTAAAACTGAATAACAAAATAATAAAAAGAAAATAATCAAAACAATAACCCTAAAACAGACTAACAACCCCAAAACCGACTAACAACCCCAGGTACTATACCCGGGGTTGGCAGACATGCCCAATCCGAATGGGTCCCCAACTCAGCAAAAGCTGGACACAGAGCACCCAACACTGATTTTCAGTTGGCATCCCTATTTGTGTGCATACATACGAGATTATAGGGTCCCGGTCAATTGGGAGATGTACCAGGGGCCGAAGCCAAAAGCACCAAAATGGGAAAAATTGTTCTTATTATTAACTTTACCCTTAATTTTTTTTCAATAAAGCTTACCAAGATATTTGCTTGCTAGTTAAAAGTTAAGTTGTGACGTCGGTACATGCCTACATTTAATTCAGCTTTATCCTAGAGGAAATAACTTCGAAATGACTCAGCTATCTGTATAACTTTCAACATTTTCAATTTGTAACCGACCTTGGTCTCGCTGACGTCACGAGGCGGACTACAATCTAGTTAGGATTGACCTCCTTCTACGAGGTCCAAAAAATAAGTAATTTCTGCAGATTAAATTCAAATGACTATCTCTTTCGTCGAGTGGTTTCAATCAGGGTTGTGAGAGAGGAGAAAATTTTCATTTTATTTTATTATTAATACCAAATTTAGCTATTGTTTTTTGTTATCAGTTTATTGGGGTTTAACGCTATAATGTGGTTATGATTGTTTGTTTGTAAGTTCGAACACTGTCCGAAATGTTAAATGTTTGTTAGAAATGAGTAGACTTCGGAACTTTGTAATTAATTTATTGCTACTGAAGTAAATAATGTTATGCCTAATTGCCATGGCACACATGACATTGGTATACATATACATAACTAAGGTCAATCTATAGCATAGCTCGTACATTGTTCACGTTAATTTTTTTTATTTGTTGTTGTCGGTTTAGGAATAGTTTTTATATATTGTGTGATAATTCAGTATTATAGAATATTTTTCTCTGCCAGGTCAATTTCTTCATCGGAGCTTTCTATGATGGGGTGTACCTACTCGGTATGGCGCTGAACGAGACCTTGACAGAAGGTGGAGATATCAGGGATGGGAGAAACATCACCAAGCGTATGTGGGGGCGAGACTTTCATGGTAAGGGCTAAATGTACTAAAGTAGGAGACTATAAATATACCTTTAAAAATCTCTTCAAACATAATGTAAGCTTGGTGGTTTCACAACGCCGGATATCTGCGAGGCCTTGGTATGACTCTGGTCGATCTGTAGTGTGATTTTGTAAGACTTCATTCTAAACTTCGAATCTGAATCCGCCGTGAGTAGTAGTACACTAGCGGTACACTTGCGAGTTGAACTAAATTGACAGCAACATTTTCATAGATAAAGTATGAGATGACATTAAAGGTGACATTCTGAAATTTTATTTCCCCATCACTTCGACGCTCACTTCGGACTCGAACAAGATTCAAAATCAAACAAATTTTATGGAATCGACGTGCTGTCCATTTTTTACTGAGGATCACCTAGTGGTACGATACTTGCAACATTAGAGGAGTAATAAGTGCGTTGTCAGCCTTTTGGGGATAAGAGGTTTTGAGGATTTAGAGATTTGAGAGGGATGGCGGAAGGGACCAATGAGGCTACCGATAACGTCACTAACATGGCGAAACGCATCGTTGTAGTTGTTTCATGGCCCGATTGTACCGGGGCATTGTTCTCCGGCATAATGAAGACTCCTTTCGACATAAAATTAAATAAAAAGTAGGTCGATATTTATGAGTTCCTATTATTAGGTTTTTTTAGAAATACGATATTAATATTATTTAAGTGTTTAATAACCCCGTGGTCACAATCACAATACCAATTATTGACGCCCACCGATTTCTAAGTATATTTGGAAACAAACTTCCATCGATTGATTTAAATTTAGTTTCTTTGTTAGTTTAAAATTATTCAAAATCAAATCAAACTAGTAATGGGATTTACAAAATAAATTTGTTTGCCAGTGAAGTATATAATTATTTACACTAATTTAATTAAGATGATTTTTATGTGTGTAGGTTTGTAACGAATAAGCTCAAAAACTACTAAGCCGGTTTTAAAAATTATTTCCGGGTCCCTCTAAGTCCTGGCCGCGGAATATTAATGCGCTTGAGTCGCTCTTTGACCTTATGGTTTAAATTAAACTATAGATAATGCTTGACTGCGATAAAAATTCACTTCTGGGCTTTCCGATTCACTTTAAGTCTTTCAGGACTTAACACAGATCTGGTAACCGGTACCTATTCGGTTTGGGCATAATTCTCTACAATAGTATTAAATTAAGGAATGGTTTAGTTCATGCCTAGCACACCTTCAAATACAATATACCTTTACAGATCTTTGTCTACAATGCGTATTATTTATTTTATTTTACACGCTCTCCGATTTCGCGCGTTTCTATAATGATACTTAATTTTCTCAACTATTTAATGGATGTTATTATACACATAAACATTTTATTACCTATTTAAGTGTGGGAAAGCCAAGCTTCGGCACGAATGGGTCGGCTTGACCGGAGTGATACCACGGCCTCACAGAATACCGACGTGTGTTTCGCCGTGTGAGTGAGGTTACCGGAGGATCCCTCCCAATCCCTAAATCTCCAAAACCCTAATCCCTAAAAGGTCGGCAACGCACTCGTAACTCCTCCGTTGCGGGCGTCCATGGGCGGCGCTGATTACTTACCATCAGGTAATCCGTCGGCTCGTTTATCGACCTATTCCATTAAAAAACTCTTTTAATAAAACGGTGTTAAAATCCGATGCGTTGTTCTAAGGATGTAAGCTTACATAGGAATATAGGGATAGAAAAAGCGATTTTGTTTTAGGTATACTATGTATTGATTACGTAACTCAGTTTGACCCGACAACATTGAGATTTACCACTATCCTATATGAACGCAATGGAAAATGTTTATAAGCTATTATCTGAATTCATATAAAGACTCGATATTGGCCACTTAATGATCTTTGATATCGTTTGTGGCGTATGACATTATATATAGTATTATGTTTATGGCTATAAAATGGTCCACCATGATGGATTTGTTAAAGTCCATTGCCTTACAGTGGAAACCTCAGGAATGCATTTATTGTCATCTTCATTTAATTGCGTTTGCAGACGCGGTGTTGATTCTTAATTTAACATTAAATATACATTTCAAAATACACATATTATACTTAGTCGGGTCATAAGTTCTGTCAAAACCTTATATTTTTAATTTTCGATTACTGGCCAGAAATTCTTCGACTTATTTTAAAAATAGAACTTTCGCGCTTGTAGAAAATAAAAAAGAAATTATTTTTTATTCATTTTTAAATATGGAGTGGTCGAATAAAGAAGACAGAATCGCGGTTATCGCGTTGCACCGCTGTGGTTACGCGCCAAAAGACATTTTCAATATTCTTCAAAATTTGAAAATAACGTTACGGTTTGTTTATCGTACTATCAAACGATACACCGAAGAGTCAAGCTTCGAAGATCGTAAGAGAAGCGGCCGACCTCGCACAGTTCGGACACATAAGGTCATCAAAGCAGTGAAGGCGCGAATCGAACGAAATCCCGTACGTAAACAAAAAATCCTAGCTCTGCAGATGGGGCTAAGCAGAACCACTGTTAAAAGAGTACTAAATGAAGACCTGGGACTACGAGCTTATCGTAAAAAGACAGGACATTTTTTGAACGAGCGTTTAAAAAAAATTAGGCTAGACAGATCCCGCGCTTTGCTACGACGGTACGCGGGAAAAAAATACCGCGAAATTCTTTTTTCGGATGAAAAAATTTTTACTATTGAAGAAAGTTTTAACAAACAAAATGATAAGGTGTATGCCCACAGCAGTGAAGAAGCAAGCGCGCGTATTGCGAGGGTCCAGCGTGGGCATTACCCTTCCTCATTCATGGTTTGGCTTGGAGTCTCATATTCAGGCGTAACTGAGGTGTTTTTCTGTGAAAAAGGTGTGAGAACTAGTGCCGAAGTTTATCAAAATACTGTCCTAACAAACATAGTGGAACCTCTTTCTCAGACAATGTTCAGGAACAGGCATTGGATATTCCAACAGGACTCTGCACCGGCTCATAAGGCACGAAGTACGCAAGACTGGTTGATCGCTCGTGGAATTGACTTCATCCGGCATGAAGACTGGCCCTCTTCTAGTCCAGATTTAAACCCACTGGACTACAAGATATGGCAATATTTGGAGGAAAAAGTCTGTGCTAAACCTCACCCGAATTTGGAGTCTCTCCGAGCATCTCTGGTTAAAGCAGCGGCAGACATAGATATGAATGTGGTGCGTGCAGCGATCGATGACTGGCCGCGTAGATTAAGGGCATGTGTTCAAAATGGGGGAGGGCATTTCGAATAATGTAAATAAAATTATATTGTACATTTAATGACCTTTCATTTCATATATAATTTTTAAATAATTGTCAAAAGGCGTATAAGTTATTACATCAAAAGTTTGTGACAGAACTTATGACCCGACTAAGTATACATATATATATAGTGGGATCAATTTTTATTTCATGAAATGAAAGAAAATATAAAGGACGCCCAATTTATACGAACTACAACTTAAAATATGTAAATATATTTCCAGTTGTAGTTCTTTCTACCTTCTGATAAGTTGAACGCACGTTGTTTAAATCGATTGAATTTTTCGTTATTTTGGACATCGTTGGTACAAGTTATCTTACTACCTTATTACAGAAAATACAGTGTAATCATTAATCAATATATATGTATTGATGAACATGTGGAATGGAATCTGAAGTTTGATGTGGGCGCAAAACATAGACCAATGTACTTAATTAAAAACATTGCAGGACAATATATGTATACGCACTACTTTACGATACCAGAATGAAAAATAGCCTTATGTTATTTCAGACTATCGGAGTGCCAATTTTTATTAAAATCTGTTCAGTAATTCTTACGTGATAGATTTACAAACATCCGTACTTAAAAACTTTTGAGTTTATAATCTTAGTAGGATTATTGATCCATTATTGATGTATCCATTATTTTTGAAACTACTCAAAGATAGGGCATTGTTTGTAACAAGTGCCTTTTATGAAAGTTCACGCCCACGTGTTTATTGTTGAAACAATGTTTACTTTATTTAACAGCTCTCAAATAACACAGAACCCTTATAATATTGTATTGTGTCGTCTTTTAATATTATTGTACGCGAAATTTTTGAATTTGTTGTTGTGTTATTGATTATTTGGTGACTATACATATGTCTTTCGGTTTCTATCTTTTCGGAAGGAAAAAATAACGGCCTGTTTCATAATGTCTCGATAGCCCATAGCACATACTATGTAACAAATCAATTTGAATATGGACGTAATTTAAATTAAGTGTGATGTGGCCCATAAGTTTATTGGGTATAAATATAAAGGAAGTGAAACTAGCCCTAAATATCGACAATGAACATGGACGACCAACAAAGCTTGCATCATTATAAATGCTAGATATTCAGCAGGAATTATGAAATCTAAGGGGAACATTTTGTTGGACGCTAAGCCAATCAACAAAAATACAACGAAAACAAATTATAAGATAAGAAAATAAAGGCGAAAGTACATCGAAATCATTAAGGATATTGTATTTAATAAAACTCATCCCTTAAAAACAGATTTATATAAGAATTTAAAACAAATAAAAATATCAACTCTATATGCAAAATTAATACTTAATAAATTAAATATCGAACTATTGGAATAGTGTTCTTATGAAGTAAACATTAGGATTGTTTTTGGAACTACGCCTCGATAACCATGTTTTATGTACTCAATAATGTACAAAGGTACCTTCCGGATTGTTTTAGAAAGTCTTTGAAACTAGTCAACTTGATAACATCGATATTGACATGCTTTGACAACGGTCTGTTGTCTTGAATAGTATATACAATGATGGTAGCCAAGTTTTGTTCTCTATTTGTACTAGCTACGTCCACGTTTTACTCGTTGCCCGGTCTTCCTCGATCAATGGACTATCCAATACAAAAATCATTGTTGTATTTAAACCAGTAGTTCAGGAGATAAGCGCGTTTAAGCAAACTAACAAATTCTCCAGCTTTATAATATTAGTAGGTATTGGTAAACAGTTTGGAGGGGCGTGGGAGCTGTCGTCGACTTATGGTGGATGAGGCTCTCATGAACCACTTTGGGGCCATTGTGATGGCCGCCCGATTAACTCAAGCTAAGGAAGTTCTGCTTGACCGTTATCGTCATCTTGGCCACCTGATTATGTCTGTGCAAGTATTCGCCATTAGCCAAACGACCACAGCCGGAAATAATATGTCTGATGGATTCACCGGAGCTATGACATGCCCGACATATGTCAACCGTCCCATCCTTCATAATATATTTCCGGTAGTTATTCGTGAGGATAACTTCGTCCATAATTGCACATACAAATCCTTCAGTTTCTCCGAAGAGGTTACTGAATCGTAGCCAAGCTACGGACGCTAGAAAATCTTTATCGGGCCCGTGGAGAGCCCGAAAGAAGCGTCCGTGGAGCTCCTTGCTACTCTATACCGCCTTGCGGTCATTGACGCTCAGCACTACGGGTTTGCACCAGTTCTCTTTAGCCAAGGATAGTGGTGTGAATCCCTTGTCCACTATGACTACTTCTCGATGCATATCCTCGTCCACTTTAAGGAAATGTTCCCTGAGATTGCACACCTCACGGTTGTGAAGAGTCTTAGCGTTTAGAAAGCCTCGACCCCCACACTTCCGCGCGATGTACAACCTCATGACTGATGAACGAGGATGATGCATTCGATTTGCAGTCAGCAGCGTCCGGACTCGTCTATCCAGGGTGTCAAGTTCAGTCTGAGTCCATTTGAGTATGCCAAAAGAATACATCAGGACCGGCATGACCCAACCGTTAAAGGCGCGTACCTTGTTGCCGCCTGATAACGAACTTTTCAGTACCTTATTCAGGCGGCCAAAGAAGCGCTCCTGTAAGGATTGTTTCATGTGCGGCCCATTAATACCCAATCCTTCCGACATACCCAAATACTTGTAGGTATCATTTGCGGAGAGTGATCTCAGTTTTGTGAAATCTGACAGCTCTAGACTTTCAGATTCCACTATCCCGCCTCGCTTTACATGCATGACCGCACACTTATCAAAACCAAACTCCATTCTGATGGAACTACTAAAATTTTTAGTTATTTTTAGTAGTTCCATCAGCTCCTCCTTGTTTGGTGCAAACAACTTGAGGTCATCCATGTAAAGTAAGTGGGAAATAACGTTACCTTTTCTCCGCAAACGATAGCCCAGCCCTGAAGCCTCAAGTAAAGTACTGAGAGGATTCAAGGCCAAGCAGAACCACAGTGGGCTCAGACTATCACCCTGGAAAATTCCTCGCACTATCCTTACAGGTTCTTCACTCCTTTGGATTTGCCTACATCCTGGATAGGAAAGCACCGTACTCCACTGCCTCATACATGACTGTAAGAAGGTGCGCAGAGTTGTATTAATTTTATACAACTCCAGCACCCTCATAAGCCATGTATGTGGTACGGAGTCATAAGCCTTTTTATAATCTATCCAGCATGTAGACAAATCCTTTCGGGATCGACGAACCTGCTGGCTAATGACCATATCAATGAGGAGTAGCTCCTTAGTTCCACGTGACCCCTTTCTACATCCTTTCTGAGAGACAGACATGATGGAATTTTTTTCTATATGTTTTGTAATTTTTGCTCTCAGAATGGATGTAAAAAGTTTATAGACCGTTGGTAAACACGTAATCGGTCTATAATTTTTAAATTATCATTATTATTAATTCTAAATTTTTCAACGAGATCCACTTCTCGACTATGAAATACTTATAATATTTTTATCCACGAAAACACAACTTAAACAAATATCGCGAATGTTCTCAACAAGACTATTTCTTCTAAACTACGTAGTTTGGTGGGTACCTAAGGGATTGAACTAATTACTTTGAGAGTCGCGTGCTCCTACCAAACTGCCAACTCTATTTACAGTGGCTCTGGACATGGCAAATCATTTCTTTAATTAACCTCAGATAAATACATCAAATTACTAATTAATCTAAAAATTACTTGAAAAACAATGTATTTTAGTCTTACTAAGGTCAGTCTGTTTTTTGTCTAATTAACGTTTGTACACTAGATCTGTCACGATTGAAGTTTTTGTTAATTAAAGCATCTGTTCGTGTAATTAGGCACAATAAAATATAAATTGTATTTATAATTTGTTTTATAGACAAAGCAATTTGCATGAGCACCTGTTCTGTCACAAAATATTTAGATCGCGAATCGACTTAAATAATTTTGTTTTTTATTTCTTTTCTATGATAAATGTTTATGATTCTATAAAGTTTACTAGCGACTCACCTCGGATTCCCAGGGGTCCAATAGTTTTTTTTATACATATAAAACTTTCTCTTTAATTACTGTCAGCCTTAAAACCAGGCTTTTCAGTTTTAGTAATTTAAATGAACGTAAGTGAAAATAAGATTCAAAATTCAAAATCTGCCTCAATGGTTTAAAAGTTATAAGTGGATATGTCTTTTAAAAAACCGCACGAAAACTTCGTCGTTAAGGTTTACAGATTAAACAATAAATGCACATGGAAAGCGACTTTGTTTCATACTATATAGAGATAATAAAATATGAATAATAAAACATTAACAGTATTTATCAGAAAGAACACAGTCATTTGCTAAATGGTTTGAATAAAACAGGTAATAAATATTTTGTTTAGGTGGTGGCATTCTTCCACGGTCTCAACAGTAGCTACAAGCCAGTCGCAGGAAAAGCCATCCACTGGCCTGGGGGTCGACGAGGTCCACCACCAGACACCCCTCGCTGTGGGTTCCTGTGGAACGACCCCATGTGCCAGGGTGGTAAGTATTTAATAGCAATTTTTATTATTACGAGTACTATAATATTATTTGTGTTAGGATTTTCAAGCCTTGTTATATTTTATTAATTAAATTTTCAATTTTTCTTGATGCTGAGCAATACTTTTTATTTAATGAAATAATAATATAAAGTGGCTAGACATTTATAATTTATTACATAAAACCTTTAATTTGGCAGCTGAAATAAAAGGTTTTTGTTTTTAGTGGTTGAAAATATTTTTCTTCATAATATACACAAAAGATTTTTTTTAAATTATAATATGCAAATTTAACGAAACATGTTCAAGAAACTAGTAATAAAGCAGAATTTACTTTATTGATAACGAAATAAGACATACTCTGCATTTTAAATTTTATAATAAGGTCCTTGTTATAAATTTGATATAACAAGTAAGCTAGTAAGCAGTTCATTATTCACGTGTTAAATGACAATACAAATTACTTACTATCATAAAGAAGCATAGTATATAAAGCATAAATTAAAAGTACTTGATTATACAATTCTACAGCCTACTGGTTCTCATTACGGTTGGCGTAGTCGTAAATGCTGTAGTTACTACGCCGTAGCTGCTACGGCGTAGCGATCTTGACACAAATTGAGAAGACAGATTTTATTATTTTCTTATTAAATGTGGAAGGAAAAAAATAGAATTTCAAGGATTGTAGCCTGAACATACAAAGCGAAAGTTACTTTGCACACAATTCTGAAGTTACTTCGTAAACGGAATTGTCAAAACTGAGTTACGAACGAAATAACTTTTCAGACGGCTTTTTTAAGTTTATTTCATCAACATTTTGAGGTACTTGGATTATATAGAATTTATTTAGTTATATAAGTAAGTATATGATCCGAAGTAAATTTGGATTTATAGTTGGCAACAATAGAACAAAATAAAAACAATTTTTTGAAGAAACATTTGTTCCAAACTGCGATCGTAGTTTCAGTTTTAAGTAAACTGATGTAATTTTAATAACCAGTGAGACTTAACTAGACAGACAGCATCTCTCCATTACGTGGTTCTAAATTATTTCATCATCATCATCATCATATCAGCCACAGGACGTCCACTGCTGAACATAGGCCTCCCCCATTGACTTCCAGATAGGCCGGTTGGAAGCGACCTGCATCCAGCGGCTTCCTGCGACCTTAATCAGGTCGTCTGTCCACCTTGCGGGTGGACGTCCCACGCTGCGCTTGCCGGTACGTGGCCTCCACTCGAGAACCTTTCTGCCCCAGCGGCCGTCGGTTCTACGCGCTATGTGCCCTGCCCATTGCCACTTCAACTTACTAATCCGCTGGGCTATGTCGGAAACCTTTGTTCGTTTGCGGACATCCTCGTTTTTTATACGGTCTCGCAAAGAAACTCCGAGCATAGCCCTCTCCATAGCGCGCTGAGCGACCTTGAGCTTCTTTATAAGGCCCACAGTAAGAGACCACGTTTCAGTTCCATAGGTCATCGCTGGTAACACACATTGATTATAGACTTTCGTCTTAAGGCACTGAGGTAAGTTGGACGAGAAGATGTTGCGTAGTTTCCCGAACGCTGCCCATCCAAGTTGGATTCGACGATTGACCTCCTTCTCGAAATTGGACCTACCTAGCTGGATCACTTGTCCCAGGTATACATATTCGTCAACAATTTCGAGGTTAGAACTCCCAACTGATATCGGATAGGGCGTGACATGGGCGTTTGCCATGACTTTCGTCTTGTCCATGTTCATTCGGAGCCCTACCTGTTGAGAAACTCTACAGAGGTCATCGAGCATTGTGCTCAGATCCTCCAGCGATTCTGCCATGACTACAATGTCGTCGGCAAACCGGAGGTGAGTGATGTACTCGCCGTTGATGTTGATGCCAGATCCTTTCCATTCCAAGAGCTTGAAAGCGTCTTCCAATGCAGCGGTAAACAGTTTCGGAGATATGACGTCTCCTTGCCTTACACCTCGCTGCAGAGGAATATTCTTAGTGCTCTGGTTTTGTACTTGGACCGACATAGTGGCGTTTGTGTATAAGCACTTCAAAACCTCGATGTACCGAAAGTCAATATGGCACCGCTGGAGAGATCTTAACACAGCCCAAGTCTCGATCGAATCAAAAGCCTTCTCATAGTCCACAAACGCCAAGCATAGTGGCAAGTTATACTCCTCGGTCTTCTGTATAACTTGCCGCAGCGTATGGATGTGGTCTATGGTACTATAGCCTTTCCGGAAACCGGCTTGTTCGGGAGGCTGGAAGTCATCGAACCTACGTGTGAGACGATTTGTGATGACCCTCGAGAATAACTTGTAGACATGGCTCAGAAGTGAGATGGGTCCATAATTTTTCAGTAGAGTGTTATCTCCCTTCTTGAAGAATAGTACCACCACACTTCTGCTCCATGCCGCCGGCGTTGCTCCTTCGAATATGACGGAGTTGAAGAGCTTCTGAAGGACTCTCAGTACCGGCGTTCCGCCCGCTTTCAGAAGCTCTGATGTGATTCCGTCCTCGCCCGGCGCCTTGTTGTTCTTGAGCTGCTTGAGGGCCATCCTAATCTCGTATAGGCTGATGTCCGGGATATCCTCGGTATAGTGTCGGGTGAGTTTAGCTCTTGGATCGGCGACTGAGCTAACAGGTCTAGTGACCGATGTGTATAGCTGTCCATAAAACCTCTCGATCTCACCCAAAACTTCGGCCTTCGTCGACGCTACACTGCCATCCTCCGCCTTCAGCTTCGTCAGCTGTGTTTGCCCAATAGACATGTCCCTAGCGAACACTTTGGAGCCTTGGTTCCGCTCTATCGCTTCTTTAACCCTATTGGCGTTAAAGTTGCGGATATCGTGTCGCATGGACTTCCATATTTGTCTATTGAGCTGCCGATGTGCTTTAGCATCGGCAGAGGTCTGGAGTACCATAGCACGTCGTTCTGCCATGAGTTTGAGGGTGCGATCGGTAAGCTTCTGCGGTCTGTCTTTTCGGCGGGGTCTAAAAAACTTCGACCCGACCGCATGGACAGTTTCTACAAACCTGTTGCTAATCTCGTCCACTGACTCGCAATTCTCCAGGGACTCAAAACGATTCGATAGCTCGATCTGAAAGCTCTCGGGACAACCGATATGTGCATTTGAAGGTCGGAGCGTAGACTTCATCAGACGTGATCTTTCCAGCTTTATATTGATATTCAATGTGCCTCTGACCAGTCGGTGATCGCTGCCGGTTTTTACTTTATGGATCACAGAGACATCATTGAACATCTGTCGCTTTGTTGTCATGATGAAGTCGATCTCATTTTTTGTGGAACCGTCCGGGCTCATCCAGGTCCATTTCCTGTGAGACGGCTTCTGGAAAAAGGAGTTCATCGCAAAGAGGTCCTCCTTCTCCAGGAACTCAGCCAGTCTCTGTCCCCTGTGGTTCCGTTGCCCATACCCGAATTGCCCCACTCTCAGCTCGTTATCGCCTCGAGTTCCCAGTTTCGCGTTGAAGTCCCCCATAACAACATTGAAGTAGGTTTTATTAGTATGTATGGCCCTACTTATGTCCTCATACATAACCTCTACTTCCTCGTCTGGGTGTGTCGAGGTCGGTGCATAAACCTGGATAACCTTCAACGAGTATCTATTGGATACCCTGAGTATCAGGTACGCCACCCTGCTCGACACACTTTCGATGGTAAGAATGTTGTTGACGAGGGACCTGTGGACGAGGAACCCGACATCACCTTGGGACAGTTGTTCGCCCTCCCGGTAGTAGAATAGGTTGCCGGATCTTAGGGTTATCGTGTCCTCGCCCTCTCGTCGGACTTCTGACAACCCCACAATACTCCAGCGCAACCTACCCAATGCCTCTTCCAGCTCAATAATCTTCTCGTCTGTCCTCAAAGTGCGAACATTGTGTGTTACCAGGGCCAGTCGTCGTCGGGGGTGGTAGCCTTTTCTCCACCTCCGGGGATTCTTAGCACCCCGTGTCCCGCCGTTACCCTGACCGCTACCACGGTAGCCAGGAACGGCGGGACTGCCGGAGACTGGGGGCCTGGTTTTATCTGAGCAGTTCATATGGGGGGATTTGCCAATACTCACCACGCTTGGCAGGCGGGTTGGCGAGCGCAGTTAGGTCACCGATAATTTTTAAAGAATGCTGCTCCCCATTCCTCGGTGTTTGGTCGCAGTTTTAGGACGTACCCGGGTCCAATCTAAATTATTTATCATTTTTTAATTAAACCGAGACAGGTTTACTGAGAAACTTTTAAATTGCTTTAAGTTTGTAATTGTCTGTTGCTGGCTCAGGGTGTGCACTAAAAAGTATTATATATACATATATATTATGTGGTTTTGTCTATGAAACAAAAGTTTACATACATAATAACAGTAGGTAAGTTTTGGTAAAAAATAATAATTAATAGTGACCGATCATTGGACTTTTAATAACATACACACTCTAAACATTTTTCAAATGGCAATATTTTTACGTAATCCACATCCTATAACAAATATATAAGTATTGTGTGTAAAGTAAAAAAACGTACTCGTAAAAAAATTACTTATGTTTTATCAAATTTCATAGCACAGCTTAGACTTAGATTATCAAATTATTTTTGGACATTTGTGACTGCTCAGTTGGTGTGGTGGCTGGGCAATTGGAAATTGTATGTTTGTACCCACGACACAGGAAAAAAGCCTAGTACCACACTAGGCTTTTTTACAAAATATAACTCGCGTTATAAAAAAAAACAAACAACTACTTACTAAAGTAAAACTGAACTACTACTACTGAATGACTAACTGAACTGAAATATTAACAACAATAAAAAATAAACAAAACACCATCGAAAGCATCAAACGACACATACAAATAACTAATGTCTATCAAGGCATAATATTTCGAATTTCGAAGTACGAATTATCATAATTTGACCGCTACCCTCATGTAGAAATAGCCTAGCCAAGATATATTTATAAAATACCTATAAATAGTATAGTATGAGTACGTTATCTTACAGGTCAATACTCCCAAGACATCGCCCTCATAATTCAAGGTCGCCTTATACGCCTTATAAAATACCTTCTAAAGATGAAGGACCACTATATAAAATCACGTGTGACTTTCAATAAACTGTATATCATAGTTAGATATTGATATTGTTAAAAGTATTTTAAAAATAGCACTATAAAATATAGAATATTTTTTCATATTAAAATTATTCATGTACATTAGCTTTGGTAGATTTTCCGCCTTGGTTGCGGGTACAAGCAAAATGATGTACCGCAATCTCGAAGTAAAAAAATGGAGAGGGATGGTTTTTAGTCAGTAAGAGTCTGGCACTCCATGGGGCAGCAGGGATGACATGATTGATTGATGACCCTACTCAAAAAATAAACTAGATTATATACATTTGTGATAGTGGATGACCGAACTGATTAAGATTATGGATATATAAACGAAAATATAAATTTAACTGACTTAACTGATTACAATGTAAAAACTGATTTTTTTTTGCTATTTTATGGTTACTCAACCCAGTATCTAACACAAAGTTAACTGTTTTGGGAAAAATATGTTACTAAGAAATAGCTAAAATAATCGTATGTCTTTGAGAACAGTATTATATTATGTTTTATCAATTGTATGAAGCACGGTAATCAACAACAACAGGCATGAGCGTTTACGGATCTTAGCGTTAAGTGAAGACTGTAATAATGTTTATACTTAAAAAAAAAAAGATCTTTAGTTGTAAAAGGTAGAATTATGCTTGACATAGTTGTCTGCTATGTACAATATTTGTTGCACGCTGCCCGGACAGAGGCGCAGACTGTCATAATCTATTGTTTCATCGGACTAGCAGTCTTCCTTACCTTCGCTGTCACTGCTGCGTGCGTTGCTTACAAGTAAGTTGAAAGATATATTTCACAATATCTGATAAAATTTCTGTGTAACCGACAGGTGTATTGACATAAATACCTATATATACCATTACATATGTCTATGCATAATACTTCGGCCTCACTGAAAAACCGGCGTAAACAACGCGTACGTTGTGTTTCGCCCATATCGGTTGAGGTTACATTTAGTTGGTATGCTTATTAGAAAATCACGTCTGACTTGTTATAGATACAGTAGCTATTGCTTAACTAAGTTATATGCGGTTTTCAATATTTTTTTTACTGCTAAGTAACCGAAAAAAGAAGGATGCCTTTGCCCAGCAGGGGGACACAATAGGCTATAAAAAAGTGACCGAAAATGTACTAAATCGATACATATTTTTGTACATGCACACCAAATAAATGTACTTACTTGTCTTATAATTTGATATAGTAGTTTATTATTATATATATATTTTTTTTTATTCTTAGCTACATTTTATTTTGATCATTATAATTTTATTTATATTCTGCTGAATAATTCTGTAGCAAATTGTTTGGTACAGAATTATTCAGCCGAATATATTATGAATAAAATGTAATTAAAAGAAAATATAAAAATAGAACATACTAAGTTAATTATAATTCTTTGTTTTTCTTTTATTAAAAGATGGTCGCTATTAGTTTACGTTGCATCTCATTATTGTGAAAAAAAAGATAATCATGAGCTTAAAATTATTTTTATTTTCGTATTATGAATAATAAAAAAATATTGTGGTTATTAATTTATCATTGATTGAGAGGATCAGCTTGTTACATTAATTTGTTATTTTATTTTGGACCTTAATTTTTAGTTTAGCTCTAGAGTTCTTTAAAGTTTTTATTGACATTTACGTTGGCCAGCAGGCTTACTCTGCAAATTAATATCAATTCGAATCTAAAACCAATCCGATTCCAATGTTAATTTCGTGGTCACGTGATTCCGTACTCTTGAAAGCAATGTTGTTAACATTGGATTGAAATCGGGATTGCCCCAAGATTGCATTCTAACGTATGAAGTAATACATCGGTAATACTGCTTTAAAATGCTGTATCTAATAAATAACAACGCTAATTAATAAATATGATATAAATAATGGTTTTATTTATTATTTCTTGAATTCCTAATGTAATTCTGTATAAGAAAATTATTAAAATCATAAAATTAACCGTTACTTCGGCTGTACGTCGTTGCTACTTAAAAAAAAGTCGTAATAGAGCGACAATTTTAAAAATCGAGTCTATTGGGTTCTAGTTGTGCCTACACGAATACAACTGTATTTATTATTATTATTGTTCAAGTTTTAAGTTAATACAGTTGGTAAGTAAATAAACAATAATATAAATTATATCTACAAAAATAATAAATTATTACTTCAATGGATTAATTTAAAAAAAAAATTGATTTTTTTTAAGTTGAAATATCACTTCTTCTCTTAGGAGTTCGCATAAAGGCCTTTATATTTTAGTAAATTTCCTCATACAAATACTTGCTCACTCGGTATTTTGCTTTAAATTCGTCTTCAGGCATAGAAAAAGCTTTGTCGGTATATCGCATCATTCGACGCTCATCGCGTCTTTGTTTTAATTTCCTTTCACGCGATTTTAGTAAAATATTGTTCATTAATACTTATCTAGCCACGTTATAAGCTTATTGTTTAATTAAAAACACTTTTAACACAAAACAATTTCTAAAAAGTTACACTTTCGTTATTGAAAAATTCACAATAAACAAACAATACTAACACAATAATGCCGCAATACTCAACTGTCAAAACAAACTCAAGAGTAGAGTTAGGTGCTCAGCCAATACCGATCCCAATCCCATTTAGTTCCCCAAAATGGCCACACAATCTTAAAACAATTTGGCGCTAGTGTTGAATTCAAGATTACGGAACGTCAAAATTCCAATGTCGATCGATCGGAATTGTAATGAAGAGTAAGCCTACTGGTATTGTTAATCCCAGCTTATGTCTAAGTTTTCTCTAAGCTTAATTGGCAAATAAAGTATTAGACATTCCCAAGGATTTTCAGGAATATTAATCCGAATTAAATTAGGTTTTCTTTAAGCTTCTTTGATAATCCAATTCGTTGATGTAATCAAAGAATCGAAGATATTTCGTAATATAGAGTAGTCTGAGTTGTCACATAGACATGTCACAAGGACTTTATATCTAATAAAACATAACCTAAAAGGTCAAGGATACCTTATTCTTCTTCCGAATCCTATGTTCGTTCTTTGATAACATTCCTTACCAGATTATCAATCAGCTCATTTGCCATCTTTATTTTTGGTTTTTAAATATCATTTTACGTTAAAGATAAAAAATATGCGTCTTTACAACGTTAACTACAAAAGTTTACAATAATTAAGTTTACTTATTCCTTTATTCGTGATTCTAACAGACAGGCTCGAATAGACGCCGAGCTGAACAATACTTCTTGGCGAGTTCGACCGGAGGAGGTGTTAGTTGAGGTTGGAACTGGGATTGGAGCCAGTCCAGCGCTACACAGCATTAATGAAGTACTCAAGGTATTTTCTTTAATATTTTGCAAGAGCTTGCATGTTTATATGTGTGCGTGTATGTGGGGGTTTTCATGTGATGGCATGGCAAACGAGCAGACGGATTATGTGATGGTAAGCAATCGGCGCTGCCAATGGACACCCACCACACCAAAGGAGTTACAAGTGCGTTGCCGGCCTTTTAGGGATAAGGGTGTCGGATATTTAAGGATTGGGAAGGGATGGGGGTATGGGGGATGGTATTGGGCTTCCGGTAACCTCACCAACACGACGAAACACATCGCTGTGATTGTTTCACGCCGCATGCACTGATTGCAACTGTTATGAAATGATAAATATACGAATAATATATTATGTACCTATGTAGAAAAAAATCTTATTAAGTCTTATTAATAGAATCTGTTTAATTTCACAGAATTGTAATATGCAAAGGACAAAATTCAAAAGGAATAATTTATTTTTAGAAAGGTTACTGCCGGAATTATCTCTGAACACGTTTACATTGCCAAAGTAATTAAGTTCTACGTTAGTTCAAACATACTCAAACGAACTGATTTTCATGCTAAAAGTAACCCTAATTCGTTTATTAATTAGATCTACAACTAACCTTTCCCAAGTATCAATTTTAATTATATTTTCTATCTAAATATTTTAGTATTATGTACTGAAATAACGCCTCTGGTAGAAAGCAAGTAAATATCTTTGATATTAATTTCATAAATTAAATATTTCAAGTATGTTGGTTTTATGAAAGCAAATTTTATAATTAACTCAGAATACAGAACAAACCAGAATCCGCGTTCACTCATAATTACATGTCGTCAAATGTGTCCAAAAACAATACGTCAATCCCCCCGCCAACCGCACTTCCCACCCGCGTAGTGTTGCCGACAGTGGAACAATTCCCTTGGTTTTCCCAACAATATAGGTAAACTTACGAAAAATGCAACAGACTTGTTGTTCACACATTTCATAGAGGTATCATAAAAGTTAACGATTTCTGATTGTGTTAATTTTAGTTACACCTACTACACACAACAAATAAAACAAAGCTTCAATAAGTACAAAAGTTTTATTGCGTTTTTTGCTGGTTTTGTTTTTTTAATATGTATTGTCATAATTTAAATTAATATTGTCATAAATAATTTGTCATAAATATATGTCTTCAAGGTGAATTGAGCAAACTATGCTCTGGCTAGATGGTTTCCGAAATTAATCTAACCGTGCCCTTTGTAAGATGTTTTTTTTTTTGTTAGTCGTCAGGTAAACCAATATGACATAGGCTCCATAATGGACCAAAATATAACCTACAACAAATAAATAAGTGGGTAAAATTTTCACCAAAAATGACAACACTCACAAAATGGCCGCATCATTTTCATAGAAAAATAAATGGATAAAAATAATTCAATAATTAATTAAATATACTATTGCAGTCGATGCTTGCAGATGAAATGTAATCTTATCCACTTTTTTCGTATTTCCAGCCGCATTTTTACTCGTAGTAATAACACAAGACGGCATAATGAAATTAAAATTGATACTCGTAAATACGTCACGATATGCCACGTGCCAAAATTGACTGATCGTAGAAATTTCATACTACTCTAGTTATGAGTGGTTTTAGTTACTTCAGTTTGAAGCGCGATGACGCCTTCTGGAATTAACCAACTACTCTCGCGCGGTTTCACCCACTGCTCGTCTCGATTTTATAGTAGCGTGAAGTTTTATAGCGTATAGCACTCAGAAACATTGTAGCTAGAATAGAATTTTGGCAATCCGACCAACGGTTCTAAAGATTACCCCCTACATACAAACCTACAAACTTACCTTATTTATAATGTTAGTATAGATTAATAGTATTTTATGTAATTTCAGCGCCAAACAATAGTTGTTTCTTAAATTAAATTTTGTCTTACGATTCATAATCCTGTAACAAATATTCCCTAGTGACAGCTTCCTCTTAATTATCGGCTTAATTCGATAATCAAGCAATTTCCTGTTTTCTTTGTGTGTCATGATAAGATGTTATTAGCTTCAATTAAATATGTGGGTGTTGTTGATTTACCTGGTGTACTACAAAGAAAGAGATAAAGATTTATTTGTGCTTATTAAGCTGGTTAATTACGACTTTGTATATATCGAATACCCTGCTTATTTAATTAATTAACTATACATATACATATTAAACTTACATACTGTAAAAGTAATAAATGTTATTTGCAATAGAATTTTTTTTTATTTGTTACAGTATTTATGGCTAGACCAGGTATACAGAACAAATGCGATAACTGTTTATTTATGATGGCAATTCAAATTCATAAACACATTTATAACCTAGCCTTACGTAAAGGGTAGCTCGGCGCGTGCCCAAGAACAGATACGAGCGTACGGCACGTAGCGTTCCGCGCAAGACCACCACAGATGGGGCCTAACAGCGCAATAAGGTATCGCGGCTTCGGCCTGGAGCAAGAAAAGGAACGGGGGTGTTTTTGGTCAGTAAGTGTCTGGCACTCCCTTTCGCCCTACCCAGGGCGAGAAGAGGGTTTGACTTTAGTTTCGTGCCGTAGGATTTGGGGTTTGAAAAAGGTAAAAGCGTGTAGGCTTGGGTCCCCGATAATATTACAAAACAAGTTTCTAACCTTAAATGAAAATTTTGGTTATAACTATAAGCCCTCGGCTTGGCTAGAAACTAGTCGGGTTACTTCGTCAATCAGCGAAGTGAATAAGCCCTTGAACATAATCAATAATAATTGCGAATAGTAATGTTGGATTTTCTTGCTCGTTCCATTTGAATCTACACTTTGGAACGAGCACCTAGCTTTACTGACGAATTGATTGACAGACTATATTTTATTTTAACTATTCAAAAGTTTCTGTTTTTTACGGTTTAGCTGGAATAACTTAATGTTCACTTTAATGTTTTTTATCTTTTCTTTAAATAGCTTTCACTGGGTTGGAGTACCCGTGGGAGTACAGGTGCAGCATCTACCCTGGGCACTCCATCTCTTACTCTCTCTTCTTTCACCGTGGGCCTCTACAAGGGGAACAGGGTGGCAGTGAAGAAGATCCACAGAAAAAAGTTAGACCTTAATAAGAAATTGCTGTGGGAAATTAAACAGGTTAGTACTGATAATTCTTTTTGTTATTTTTATAATGTCATCGAAATCTGTCTTGTTGATTTTATGGCCGTAAGCGAAGCAGTATTGGAAGGCTTTTCAACTCTGTTGGTCAGAAATGTATTTATTAATACTCTTTTCAATTTAAACAATGAGATTTTTAACTAAACACCTTTAAAATGAAAAAGTTTCCATGACGTATATTGAACGGGAGGACCTGAAGTATATAAATAGTGCTTATTTTTTGTTTGTTGTTAAAAAAACTTTGCACCGCACTAGGTTTTTCTCCTGTGTCGTGGGTGCGTTTACAAACACAATTTTATATACACATCACATGCGGGAATCGAACCCGCGATACGTTGCGGGGCAGCCAGTTGCCCAGCCACCACGTCAACCGTGCAGTAACAAAATTGGCGTCTCACCCTCAATTAATAGATTACTAATTACGATGATGGATGGTGTGATCATTAATGGATGATTGATTGATGTTATGTTGTATCTGAGAATTAACGTTATTGCCAGAGGAGTAAAATCTAAAATGCTTTTTCAACGCTATTTATGTAAAAGCTTTGAGTTATAAATGATATGATAGCTTTACATAATACACCAAGTATTGAGGAGTTCCAGTAATATTTATTGCTAGCTTTTAACTTGTGTCTTTCCATCAATGGAATTAGTAAAAGGATCATATTCGATTTTTTACAGGGCTTTTCAATAATACCTGTAGAAAAATTTAAGTATAGATAATTTGTACATTACGTATATCTGAAACTTTTCTGTACATATATTTATGTTGTACTATAAAGAAATAAAAATAATTTGATTTTTAAAATTATTATTCACAACAGGATGATACGTAGACAAAAGCTATATACATATACTTATATTATGTGTTCACTTTTTTTCGATGGCATTAGAGTCTCCTATATAGTATATAGGTAGTTACTGCAAGTATCAAGTGGTGACGACAATCTAAAGATATTATTTTCTTACATATTCAAGTGAATTCTCACGAGACCTGACTTTGTCATTTATTTGTCACTGTACGGTTAAGCAACCGCACATTGTACTTTGATTTGGCCTAGTTAGAATACTGCAAATTATGTTAATTTATAATAAAATATAAGATAGTCACGTACTCAAGTAGGCCAGTCTTCGGTATAATATCGAGCTCGCGCAACATTTAACATTTTAACATTTTTTATAACATTTTTAATTAATTTCTTTTTATTTTAGTGCATTTTCGTATTAAAATACCTTTTTAAACATTAACATTTATTTTATTAACATCCAACATTAACTGTAAGGGTTCAAGCCCTTACATTTTGGTCCTTCGAGCCGTTAAGTGTAAAATCAGTGCCGTGGTACGGTTTCACTCGCGGGAACATTTGAACATTAAACTCAGACATTAATCAGAACATTCAACAGAACATTACAAACAGTGTGATCAGTGATAATCAGTGAGAGTACACAGAACGAGGTGAAGTATAAGCAGCAGGCAGTAAGCAGCGAATCCGGTGAGCACGTTCCATATTACCTAAATTTCTAAAATTTTGGATTTGTGAACCGCGAAACAACAATGTCTTCTTACGATGCTTTACTTGACTCTCAATCGGACAATCTTAACGCTATTAAACGTATAAATGAAAACTTTAAGAAAGATAGTCCTACACGAAAAACCACTCTTGAGTATCACGATGAAAGACTTCAGAAGCTGGAGGAGTATTGGAGTGACTTTAAAAACAACGACATCCAATTAGCCTTATTTGAAGGCAAGAAGTCTGGACCTTATTATGAGAATCGCGTTTACGAGCGCTTGGAACAAATATACGAAGAGACGAAGAGTATGATAAATAAGTCGAAACAAAGATTATTGGCGAAAATCGAAGACGATAAATTTACTTCGTTTACTCAGTTGCAACAACAAGAAGAAAGGTCGAGTGCTCAAGAGGTGGTTAAAGAACAACGGGAACGAGAAGAGGTCACATATGATGTGAAGAACACGACGTCAAATGAAGAGTTAGTCGTTGATCAACGGACTAAAGATATGTTAAATGAGCAGCGGTCAAACATCAAGGCGTTTGAGCGAACAATACGTAACATGGACATTGAAAATTTGAAAGAAAAGTGGCAACTTGAAGATAAATTGAGGTCAGTTACGCAACGTTGGGAAAAAGTCGATACGACGTATTGGAAGCTGGATAACATATTAGTCAACATGCAAGCATTTGAAAGTGATTATAACAGACTAGAAAGGCTGTATGAATTCAGTAAGGAACAAATTAACAAGAAGATTTGGGAGAACAAACACCAGGAAAAATCCACGCCTCAAATTGAACTACCGATTTTCAGTGGCAGCTATGCCCAGTGGACAACATTTAAAGACTTGTTCGTGGAAATCGTGCATCGTAACACTTTTATTTCTAACGCTCAAAAAATGCAACATTTAAAGGCAAAGTTAAAGGGAGAGCCCGAGCGATTAATACAGCACATGAACATTAGTGCTGACAACTACGAAGCCAGTTGGCGGATTCTTCAGCAGAGGTACGACAATAAGAGACTGTTATTTACCTACCAAGCCAACATGTTACTGAGTCTACCCAGCATACAAACCCCAACGGCATCACTACTGAAAAGAATGCATGACACAACCATTGAGTGCCTTCAGGCTATTCAGAACCTGAAATATGATACTTCCAGTTGGGATCCTTTAGTGGTTCACATTTTAATGCAAAAGCTAGACGCAGACACATGCCAGTCCTTCAAAGAATCCATGGAAAAACCAAAGGAAATGCCATCATTAAACGAGTTACTGAAATTCATCGAAACAAAGTTTATGTCAATGGAATCGGGTGCAAATCCGAACCGCCCGCGGAACTCTAACAGTCAACAGCAAAACACTCAGCCGAAAACAGTACATAATGCAACATACAGCAAGCCTAAAGCGCAGCAACAGACCAGTCCAGGTGGAGCTAAGAACATGCCGAGAACATACCACAACAAACAAACATCTCATCATTCTTTTATAACTTGTCCTAAATGTAATAAGCAACACGGTCTCTATAATTGCAGAGAATTTTTAAGTATGTCACCAGACGAAAGGTTAAAAACCGCTAACAACCTACATGTATGTCTAAATTGCCTGTTTAGTCATAACGGCGAAAAATGCACGTCGGAAAAAAGGTGCAAGCACTGCGATGAGTCGCATAGCAGCATTTTACATGACGCGATTGGACTTGCGAAATCGAAAACTAACAGAGTTAATGTAGGTCAACAAGTAAACACGCATTTAGCTCATGACAACTCGAATGAGGTATTACTAGCCACTGCCCAGGTCAAGACAATAGCCAATGACGGAACTATTGTCATTTTACGCGCTTTATTGGACCAGGGCTCTCAGGTCAGCATCATTACAGAAAATGCTGCACAAAAATTGCAGTTAAAACGGGAAAGGATGAGCGCGGTGGTGTCAGGTGTTGGTGCTTCAGCCACCACCAACTGTAAAGGAGTGCTCCATCTCAAATGCCAAGCGATATACAACAATTTTAACATTAACATTAATGCGTTTATTATGAAGAAAATAACAAACAAACTGCCAAGTAAGACAATAAATAAAGATAGTTTTGAACATTTACAACATTTGCAACTCGCTGATCCAGATTTTAACATATCTCAGAATATAGATTTACTATTGGGAGCAGAGGTATATTCTGAAATATTGTTAGAGGGGCTACTAAAAACAAACACGTCATCCGTTATAGCACAACAAACACATTTAGGCTGGATAGTATGTGGTAATTACAAAACATTTAATTGCCATGTAATTGTCAACAACATTCAGGATCTTGCCCAATTCTGGGAACAGGAGTCTTTGCAAGAAGAGAAAGAAGATTTCGACCCAGACAACAAGTGCGAACAGCTGTACAAAGAGACAACAACGCGACTTCCTGATGGACGATACCAAGTTCGTCTCCCCCTCAAGGACAATTTTATTGAACAATTAGGAACATCGAAACCACAGGCCATCGCTCAATTTCAACAGCTAGAGCGAAGGATGGTTAAAAACTGTGCGTTTGCAAAGAATTATAAGGCCTTTATGGAAGAATATGAAGAAATGGGTCACATGGAGAAAGTCGTAAACAACACTGAGAACAACAACATGGAATATTATCTTCCACACCATGGGGTAGTGCGGCCAGGTGCTATCACAACGAAACTTAGAGTTGTGTTCAATGCATCGGCGAAAACAAGTTCAAAACGCAGTCTTAATGACTTAATGGAGGCAGGACCGAACCTACAAAAAGATATTTTTAGTATCTTGCTGAAATGGAGACAATACAAATATGTCTTAACATCAGACATTGAAAAAATGTATCGATTTATAATGGTGCATCCAGAACATCAACCTCTACAGAAAATAGTGTGGAGGGATTGTCCACAGCAACTGCTAAGAGAATATCAACTATGTACAGTTACCTATGGTACCAAGGCCGCTCCATTCTTAGCACTCCGAACACTTCAACAGCTAGCAAAGGACGAAGGTGACAGGTACCCGGAGGCTAAAAACATCCTACTCAACCAATTTTTTGTAGATGATGCGTTATTCGGAAAGGATACCATGGACGAGGTCCGAGATACAAGAGACCAACTTATACAGTTATTAAAGGAAGGAGGGTTCAATCTCAGAAAATGGTCGAGTAACGAACGTCAACTGCTAGAAGATCTGCCAGAACATATGATTAGTCCAGTCAGTTTAACCTTTACTGAGGCATCAGCGTCTAAAACATTAGGCTTGGCATGGAATCCGAAACAAGATGAATTTATATTTTCAACCACACTAAAAAACAAAACCGAGTCGGAAACCAACAACAAGTCGTCCAAACGGCAAATCTTAAGCGACATATCAACAATTTTTGATCCATTGGGGTTATTATCGCCAATTACAATCAAGGCAAAAATCTTATTCCAACAGATCTGGAAGTACAAAATCGAATGGGATGATACTGTTCCAGATGAAATAGAAAAGGAATGGAGAACATTAAAAACAGAATTAACAAACATGCAACCTTTCAAAATTAACCGATGGCTTGGATTAAGAGCGAACAAGAATTGTGAATTACACGCATTTTGTGACGCATCAGAAAAAGCGTTCTCGTGCGTAGTATACAGTAAGATTACTGAAGGAAAACAGCAACAGATTGCATTGGTTGCGGCAAAAACAAAGGTCGCTCCAATACAAAAACATCAAACACTCCCCAGACTTGAGTTATGCGGCGCTCACCTGTTAGCTCAACTGGTAAATAAAATAAAACTTTGCTTTGATAAGCCTAACATTAAAGTAACAGCTTGGACGGACTCGATGATCGTACTTGGCTGGCTAAAGGGAGATGTCTCGCGATGGAAAGCCTACGTCGGACACAGAGTTCAAGAGATCATATCTGTAGTGCCCGCAGGGAGTTGGAAGCACGTGAGATCGGAACAAAACCCGGCTGACTGTGCGTCACGTGGACTACTGCCGTCTCAGTTGCACAACTTTCCTCTGTGGTTTAATGGACCTGAATGGCTTAACAGTGAAACCATTCCTGAAACACATGACACGATAAAGATGCCTGAAATAGAACTAAAAAGGGTGCATGCAGTTACGTTACAAACTACCGAAAACAAAAACATTAACTTTGTAACTGAACTACTTAACAAAAACAGCTGTATTATGACTATAATACGCATCGTAGCTTGGGTGTCGCGTTTCATAACAATCACGTCGCAAGGCCGTCGGCACGGGGAAGACGCAGCTATGGATCATCCAAACATGAATGACCCGGCCGCGTCAAAACAATGTAATTTAACACTCTCTGATATTCGATGCGCTACTAACATAATAATAAAACATGTACAAAACGAATATTACGAACAAGAAATCCATGAATTAAAGACTAAAGGAAGGATAAGCAAAAATATAGGACTCCAGAAACTGTACCCTTACCTGGATAAAAATAACATATTACGGGTCGGAGGGAGACTACAGAATTCAAACTTACCAGAAGAAACAAAACACCCAGCTATCATCCCAAAAAACAGCAAACTGGCGTATCTTTTAGTTGCCCGTGCGCATGCTACAACACTACATGGTGGAGCGAGACTAACTACGGCTACATTGAGACAGAAATACTGGATCACAGGAGGAAATAACACTGTGAAAAAATACCTGCAAGACTGTGTTAAATGTTGTCGCTTCAAACCAACCAAACAATACCAATTAATGGCTGACCTACCCAGGGAGAGAATAACACAATCACCACCATTCTATCACACAGGTGTGGACTTCACAGGGTTTGTTAATGTTAAATTAAACAAGGGCCGGGGCGTCAGAACGAGTAAAGGTTACGTCGTTGTATTCGTGTGCATGACAACAAAGGCGGTGCATTTAGAACTTGCATCAGATTTATCATCGCAAACATTTATACTGGCTCTCAACCGCATGATTGGGCGACGAGGCTGTCCAAAACATATTTATTCGGACAACGGAACAAACTTTGTTGGAGCCGAAAGGGAGTTAGCCAAACAACTGCATATATCCCAAACATTTAACAACGACACCTTATCGAAAAAGTGTAACGAGATGGGGATAGAGTGGCATTTCAACGCCCCAAGCTGGCCGACTGCGGGAGGACTTTGGGAGGCTGCAGTTAAGTCTATGAAATATCACCTAAAGCGTGTCCTAGGAGAGCAAAAGTTGACATACGAAGAGTTTCTAACACTTCTTACGCAAATAGAAGCCTGTATGAACTCTAGACCACTTTGCCCCTTAACAGAGGATGTAGACGATATTGATTACCTTACACCTGCACATTTTTTAATTGGCCGACCTTTAACATTCTTACCTACGGAAAATATCGAAAATAAAAACATCAACATTCGACATAGGTGGCAGTTGTTAGACAAAATGAAACAAGGGTTTTGGAGCAAATGGTCATCAGAATACCTGCAACAACTTCAAGTTCGTAGTAAATGGCTTAACAAAACAAATAATTTATCAATAGGGGATATTGTCTTAATTAAAGAAGACTGCCTTCCTCCTGCGAAATGGGCACTTGGCAGAATACAGGAAGTTCACCCTGGGAAGGACAATCTGGTCAGAGTAGTGACGTTAAAAACTAAAACAGGACTACTAACAAGACCAATAACAAAATTAGTGAAACTCCCAGTACCAAATTCTCCTATAGAAGTACCTGACACCACCACCTCCAATGACAAAAGCTGCAGTGAACCACAAAAGGCTGTAACAAATAATACTAAACAACGTTTTAAATCAAGCAAGATAAGTTCCAGCCTGCTATGTATCCTCGTAACATTGCTAACATTATTTCAGCCCACAAGGCAGAGCAGTGACGGCATAAACGTCACGCCGTTTGAACCAAATAGAGGGGTGTATTTTGACAAAATCGGCAATTTGCAAACCGTACATGATGACTGGAAGATAGTAACTTATTATAACATGACAACTTACTGGCAAGGCATGGAAAATATACATAGAGTTGTGAAACACCTAGGAGAAAGATGTGAGCAATTTGCTTACCAAACGCTGTGCAAAACAATTATGACTGAATTCGAACAGGAACTCAATGAACTAGATCATAACAACTACATGTTAGAAACTCATCATGGGCAAACCAGGGGGCGCGTTACCCGAGGCCTCGTCGATGGAGTAGGTTACCTTGCAAACAGCCTATTCGGCGTGCTAGATGAAAGGTTCGCAACACAATATAAAAAGGACATAGAAACATTACATAACAACAGAGACCATTTATTAAATCTGATCAAAAGTCAAACCTCAATAATTGAGGCACACAATAACATTTTAAAGAGAAACGAAGAAGCAATGAACTCTCAGTTCAATCTATTAGAGCAACACCTTAATGCAACAGAGAACTATCTAAAGAAATTGAACGAAGCTGTTCAACAAGACGAAGCGCTGAACTACTTTAACATCATGGCTCTGACAAGTTCAACAATTCTGTCCAAACTCCGCCACATACAACAGATGCTGTTAGACACAGCTATTAACATTCACCATGGTCATGTAGACACCAGACTTTTACCGCAGAACCAACTCTTTCAGGAGCTTAACATTATATCTGGACAATTGCCACAACAATTATCGCTACCCGTTGACAACATTCAAAACCAATTAGCCGATATTTACAAACTACTTGAAGTAAAATCTAGATTATTTGATAAGTATTTCATCATCGAAATAACATTACCACTAACGGGCGACACCCCATTCACTATATATAAAACAATTCCCATTCCTATGATCAAAAATAACAACCAGTCAATTACAATGAAAACTAACTCAGAATATGTTGCAGTAAATGTGAGAAAAGAGACATACATGCAGCTAACAAACAGTGACCTGGAACATTGTATTAAAATAGAACCAAGGACATATGTATGCTCACTGAACAAACCAACACGCAACATGCGAAATCATCAAATTCCATGCGAAATCGGCGCAATAACAAATATTACATTATCAAAATGTATCTACACATCCGAGTCGTGCAACAACAAATGGATAACATTACAAAAACCAAATACCTGGCTCTATGTCTGCTGCACGGATTGTCAACTGCAGATCATCTGTGAAGGTCGTATGACCACTAAGGCAATACGGTCAACGGGAATTTTAGAAGCCAAAAAAGGATGCATAATTAGAAATAATGAAGAAACATATTACACACAAGTTTATTACACGAACAAAATTTATGTCAACCCGGAAATACCATTGATAGACCTGGATGACATCAACAATTTAACATCGATACAACCGCTTGACTTATCAACAAGCCAACATAACACGCATTTTGTGAAAAACGATTATGAAAAACTTCATAATTCGTTAAAAGAATTAGAAGATCAGACCAAACAGACTGAAATGTCGCAACACGATGTCCATCAATACATCGTTTCGTACTCTACGATGGGACTTCTGATCCTGTCCATATTCGTCGCGGGAGGAGCCTACGTGTACTACAAACGCTGCGGCAAGCTCGCCGTCAGCGCCGCCGACACGCCAATCAGATCACCGCCCCAAAAACCACCAAGAGCTACAGCATCTACCTACGCGACACCTCATTCTTTTAACATATAACTTTATTTACATTTTTATAATTTTATTTACATTTTGTTTTACATGAATTTATTTACATTGATAGGATATTTTATAAGTTTTCTTAATTTTTTGCCCCGCCAAGATGTACGGTTAAGCAACCGCACATTGTACTTTGATTTGGCCTAGTTAGAATACTGCAAATTATGTTAATTTATAATAAAATATAAGATAGTCACGTACTCAAGTAGGCCAGTCTTCGGTATAATATCGAGCTCGCGCAACATTTAACATTTTAACATTTTTTATAACATTTTTAATTAATTTCTTTTTATTTTAGTGCATTTTCGTATTAAAATACCTTTTTAAACATTAACATTTATTTTATTAACATCCAACATTAACTGTAAGGGTTCAAGCCCTTACAGTCACGAAGTTAACAAGGTTGATATAAGTAGTAAATTGAAGTGACAAAAGTTCTTGGAATCTGTTCCCGATGTAGTAGGTATCTAAATTCCATCGGAGATAAGTTCCTGATAAGTGATATTAATAATCCGGGTAAGACTTGGGTGTTTTTACAAACAAGAAATTTCACATACCCGAAACAACAATTGGAGATCAGACAAAGAGGTGTTCCGTGCCGAAATCGAACCCGCGATACGTTGCACGGCAGCCAGCTTCCAAGCCACCGTGCAGTCATTGACATTGTCAATTATTTTTAAAACTATTTTTGTTCTAGGCTCGCAATGTATCCCACGAGAACACGGCGCGGTTCATCGGCGCGTGCGTCGATTGTCCTCTGGTGTTTGTGCTGACAGAGTACTGTCCCAAGGGATCATTGAAGGACGTCCTCTCTAATGATGAGCTGCAGCTGGACTGGAACTTCAGGACATCGCTGGTGCATGATATCGTACAAGTAAGTGGCAGACTAGTAATTTAAGAGTTAGATTACATATTTACGGAAAGAACCATGCTTTTTTGAAGGAGTAAAAGGATCAAATGTCTCTCTCCTTGAGGAGAAGAAATTTCAGACTCTTATCTGACTAAAAACCACTTTATCGCGCTTGTTCCGTAACCCTGCGGGAACATCGGCCTTGTTGGTCCATATGTGGTAGTCTAATGATTCTTATGGTGTTACAAAAAAAAATTTAAAAGGTCCATTGTAAATATGGCATTATGTGCTAATATATACTCTTTTGTCTGCCTCCTCCATTGTCATGGTAAATTATTTCACTTGCGTTTGTTACTCTGGCCGGAAAGAATCCGGCTGTAAGCTTATTTCTATCCTTTATAACTAGGTATAGTATAGTTAGTCATAATTATCTAATGATATTTTCGTTTTCTTTGATCTCTTTTAATTATTACAACGACTGTTGTAAAGTTGCTCATTTTGTCAGCATCAAAAATACATGTTTGTCTCTGAATGCAAAATCAGCCTAAATTCGCTCTAAAATATTCGGAAATGGATGCTGTTATTATAAAAATCCTACTCATAAATATTTTGAAAGAAATAATAGCGTGGTTAAGAAGATGGCGTTTGAACCCAAAATACATAATTTAGCCACCAATAACTGTACGGTTGACGCGTAGTTATAGTGTAGGTGGGGAGCAAATTAGGACTCACTCGATATAAGTCACAGTTTGATATTCAAGAAACCACTTTACACACACATTATTCAACAAAAATCACTTAAATCTCAATTTTACTTAAATTTTTTTCAAGATCAAGTTTATGTACCTTTGTTTAAAAAGCAAGCTTGAATGGAAAAAAGAAAAATAATAAACGAAAACGATTCTTTGTAAAAAAAGGTTTCCTTAACTTGATCAACACAATCAGAAGGCTGATCAATGGATCAACTAATTATTTCGTTTTATTAACAACGCTTAAATTAGTCGCGTAACCAAGAAATTTATTTATTGAAAATGATGACTTACTTGTATGAATTAACTGTGTAAAGCACTACGTGATGCTGTTCATGAACAAAGATCCCGTTGTGACCTTTAGTAATTTTCAATAAATTTAGTATGTCTCAAGATAGTTTTTTTTTGTGAGGGGAAAATCATCAAATGACTTCTCCCGCCCAGGGCCGGGCAGGAGGGAGTGTCAGATGCTTACTGACTAAAAACCCCCCTGTTCCTTCTCCTGCTCTATGCCGAGGTCGCGGTGCCTCATTGCGCTTACTCCGCAACCCGGGCTGTCTCAAGATAGTTACTATTCAAAAAAAGAAATTTATAAATAAATAAACTTTATTGTACACCAAAAGTGTTGACAAGCATATACAAAAAATACAGTATCTAATCCGTACTAGGTACAAAGGCGGCCTTATCGCTAAAAGCGATCTCTACCAGGTAACCTTTAGGTGGACGGAGTATTGTAGAAGTAGGTGGTCCAGTTGTAATAATAGAATTAAAAACATTTACATGCAATATTATAGTGTAGGAGAAAGTGTAGGAGAGAATGCGTCGCCTCGACCGGTGTGATACGGCCACGGCCTTACAGAAAACTGACGTGAAAGAACGTTTAAGTTATGATTTATGAGTGACGCTATTGAGGCCCAAATCCCGAGTAGTGGAATGAGGGAAACCACAATCCCCAAATTGCCAATCCTCAAGTTCATAAAAATACTGGCAACGCACTTGTTCTTTTGGTGTTGTGGGTGTCTATTGACGATGCCGATTGCTTACTATCATGTCGTCCGCATATCGTTAGCCTTTCTGTAGAAATATCTTTTTTGCTTTCTTAGAAAATATCTCTTCAGTTTTCCCCGCATTTTTGTCTGTATAGCCTATGTTCTTTTTCGCATGAATATTGATTGAGCTAACATCAAGTAAAAACTTCCTTATTTTTTTAAATCAGTTTACAAACTAACTTGCTATCAAATTTATAAACAATGGTAAATAAATATATTTTCCGTTGTTCAGGGCATGTGCTACTTACATGGCGGTCTGGGTGCGCACGGCAAGCTGCGGTCTTCAAACTGTCTCATCGATGGACGCTTCGTGCTGAAGATCTCCGACTATGGCCTCAATACGTTGTGCACGCCAACCGACTTAATAAAGGACGACACATATTATTACAGTAATTATATTTTAATCATTACACTTCACATTTATTTTTCTTCTCTTAATATATACTACATTTCATATAAGTATTTTTTTTTTGTAAAAGGATTATAATGCTTTTTACTCGTACTTACATGTTTTACTATAACTACTAGGGTCCCACCAGTATTTTTTCAAACATACTACAAATAAATAAACTACTACAAATAAATAAATGAATTAAACAAATCTACCTCAAATATCACTTTCCCAGCTGTTGACAATCACATATAATTATGTTTAATAGTTTTTGAGTTTATGCAAAAAGACACCAGATGTTACAATAGCCAGCAGGCCAACCCACTCTTTTTCGTCACATAAAGATTTTCAACTTAATTGTTTAGATAATATAAAGTGGAAAATAGAATGAAAAATTCACAGTATTTTGACCCTCGCACTTGATAGTGGATGATGTTGCAGTTTCCCATAAATCCCTTTGTTGCTGCTTGTTATTTTTTATTTGCTCATTGACTTTCTTTTCAACGGACCACGTACCTACAATGCACAAAACTTTTGTAAAAAAATAAATTCTTGTGGAATTTCTTATATTTTTATTATTCAATTTGTTTTGCTATTTGAATCTAAGTACGTGGTCTGCGGTGCTAATTAAATTAGTCGCTGGTTTGTTTGTGATTTAAGTCTAATTGAATGTCTTAAGTGCTTGCGTAAATTTAATATATTAATGCTATTGTTATTGTACACAGACTCACTAATGTTCTATTTGTTTAATTAATATATTAGTGGGAATAAAATAAAAGATTAATGAATTGGGCGACAAAACCGGAGGTTTTATATTAACAACTTTTTACGTGTTAAAAAGACAAAACGACTGTATTTGTGTGAAATAATGATTATGAAGTCGGCGAAACCAATATTTTGAAAAAAGGTTATATTAAATATTAATATAAGCCGATATAATATATACAAACGTACTTATAGAACTTGATGAATGTATAAGAAGCGAAAGAGTGACGTTCCATGGTCCTGCTTCATCAGGCGCTTTTTGACGATATTTTTGAATTATGATTAAAAGACAAATAAGTTTGTGTGGTAATAGTGTATAGCTGAAGAATGAAATTAAATAATATTTATATTACATCGCAAACTTTAAATAACTTGGGATCAGAGTACGTGGAAAGTAAAAAAAGAACTTAAATAAATGACACTATAGACTAAATTCCTTTAATAGCCAAAATTGGCTTTGCCGGGCACAAATGAAGATGATCTTCATTTGTGCCCGGTAAAGTTTTGTGGCACATCATTTATACAGAGAACGTTCCAAATTCAAATTTATCTGGTACACTCAGCGATTGTGTAGTAATAGTGTAGTTGCATTTGACCAATGCTGAATAGTTAATAATTTCTTTATAACTCGTAGTCGAGGGCTAGATCATTGAACTTTAAACACAAAGAAGTTTTACACGTTTTAAAATTGGTTGAGTGCTTTTGACCGATGACTGTACATAGTGTTCAGAAAATGAACCTTAGTCAATCAATAGTATAATAAATTGTAAAAGCTTCTACTATATAAACGAGTATTTATCAAAACTTAACCCTTATATCCAAGTTGATAAGATGTAATTTACAGAACTGCTATGGACGGCTCCTGAGCTGGTGGCCAGTAGCATATACCCCGGTGCTGCAGCCTCTCTCAAAGGTGATGTGTACAGCTTCGGCATTATTCTTGAAGAGATCGTGCTGAGAGCGGGACCCTTCCACAATTATACTAACACGATGTCTAGTAAAGGTGAGTGTTTGAAAATAATTTCTTTTTTATTTATACAACGGGAAATTAACAGACTTAGTACTTGATTGACAACAAAAGAAGAGTTGCTAGTGCGTGCGCCCCCTTATCGCCTTTTGGGGATTTGGAAGGAAAGGGCTTGGGACCGCACTCACAGCGAAACCATGCTATGTTTATTTCACGCCGGTTTAAAGAAAGAGAGAGAACACTGCAATACAGTGATAATTGTTAAAAAAATACAATTATACAATATTTGGGACACCTAACCTTACCCAATATAGGCTTTGTTTATTGCACATATTAAGTGTAAGATCCACTTCACCAGTTGTTGTTGTTGTTGTTGTGGTGATATACAATCGAAACACAACATCTCTTCAATTTGCCCAAATGGAAGAGAAGTTCTAAAGAAATTGAAAACCCGCAATGATCCTATAAAGAACGTTATGCCAGTTTCTTGTTTTTTTTTTGAAAACTTTAGGTATTTCCTCCACAGTTGGCCATTCAGAAAGCATAGTTAATACTTTGAATAAAATCTACTGACTACTTTTTTAAATACCCCAGTTTTCCAACTGCATTCAGTTTAAAATAACTTACTATAAAGCTGAAAAAGTAACGTTTTCAGGCCTTGAAGCGTTTTAATGGAATGTGACGGTTCAGTAGTTGTTTGTAGGTCACCGCAACAGAACAACTTTTATTTATATTGTCTATGCTTTCACGGCTCAGCGGACAACTCTGTCGGCGCTTCTTGCATTCATTACGCGTATACGACCAAGTCTAACTAATAAATTGTAGTTCTCTTTTTTAATTGTTTCTTTAGGTAAAGAAAGCCATAAAAGGCTGACAACTCCCTCGTAGCACGTCTAGTTTTGCGACTGGCGGCGCCGATTATTATTACAATTAGGCGATTTCTCTAGCCGTTTGCCGACCTATTATATAAATGTACATTATAAACGTCTCTGCGTAATTTACACAACAAATCTTTAAAAAAAATCTTATGATAAGAAGTTTGGAGGATACAAACATTCATGCATTGAAATATTTATTTATTTATCACCTTTTCGTTTTTAGATTTTTTTATTATTTTGCGTACTATTTATAGGTCAACACACTGAAACTTAAAAAATATATGTGTTATACCATTAAACGTATAAACTTGTATTATTTCTAATAAACACTAACACAACTTCAACCTCAACTAATCGAGCCGGGGATACCGGGCAAGTGCAAAGGTCGCGGCCAGAAGGAACGACTTGATTTTTAGTCGGTAACAGTTTGGCCTTCCCTTTCACCTCACCCTGAACGAGAGAAGATTTGATGATTTCCCCCGTCAAGAAAAGGCCAGAAACCTTGGTTAACCGATTAAACACGAAATTCAACAAAAGTCGTAGCAATAGTAAAATAACATTGCGTAGGTGCTACGCCGTAGTAATTGTGCTACGAGTTATTTAATTACGAATTCCTAAAATGACAAAACGAAAATATTTGAATATGATATTGTGAAAGATCAAAATTCCAACCAAAGTTAAATAAGAACAGAATCTTAAATGTCAAGTAATTACTTCATATTTATACATAGAATTGACTGAAACGTAACACAGCTCAAAATTAATGAAAATTCATAACAACAAAGTTTATTTATAAGGGAAGAAGTACAAACTCATCAAAATTCTCAAAATACTTATCGAAGTTTTAAAGCAAATAAATACTACTGTTTAGTTAATTTTATCATTCTCCTGAATAAACATAAATTGTTTGTTATAAGATTTTTCAAAGTAGCCCTTAATATAAGGCAACACAATGATTATAAACAAGAGAGGTTAGCTTGTCCTACTCCACAGGATGTTAAGAGGAATTTTTGATTTCAATTATTAAATTGTACACCATGTTGTTAATTATTGATGAACTTCAAAGTTTTTGTAAATGTAAGTGCCCTATAACCTATTATAATTAAGTTAGGCTTGATTAAGTTAGAATATAGATACTTGTGTGTGCATGCTCACTCAGAGGTCTCATTGGTGGTGGCACGGGCACTGGATCGCTCGATTCCCTATAATATGGTAGAGTTGGGCGGTGCTGGTGTACGTGTTATGTTCGTGAACGGGTGCCGCCAATTGGAACTGGTCATCTCCAGGCTGTCTAAATATGTAGTCCTTGAGGTTAACTTCTTTTTCGGATTCTTTGCCTAAACATTAGTGTTACACTGTTCTCACATATCAGAACCGACTAAATGGTGTCACAAAGAAATGAACTGTAAAACTGATTTTGAAAGAGTAACCACGTTTTAGTTTCCTGCTCGTTCTTCTCCCTAGGAACACGCATAAAGTTAAACCTCTTGAAATATATATTTTTTAATTGCTTTTGTTTGGCGTTCAAAAGTGTCAGGTGGATTAAAATATGTGATTTTGACTTTTATATGAAGATTTTGCTAAACAACACGTGTGATTCTTTACTAGCAGTTTTTTTTTAATAAAATGAAAGTGTTCTCGTTGAAATCATTTTACACCATATTGTATTTTATACGTAAGTTAGTAAAATATTAAAATTATTAAGAAATTTCATCACACGTGATTCTGCAGTCATTTAGTAACCCAGCGTACGTGTTTAAATATTTATGTAACATAAGTAACAAAATGAACTCCGTTCCACACGTTGTTACGTTAAAACGTTGCTCGCCTTTATGATGAGTTTAAAGATTGTATAAAATTTAAAATACTGTTTGAAGTCGCCAACCCGCACTGAGCAAGCGTGGTGATAAATGCTCTAACCTCCTCCGTGTGAGAAGAGGCCTTTGCTCAACAGTGGGCACTTATAGGCTGATAATGATGATGATGATGATGATGATAAAATACTGTAGACGTTGAATAAGCCAAGCTTCTAATGCATGTGAGCGACACCTAGCAAGTACCAATGTGACTTTTTCCGAGTTATATGTGCTTTATAATATTGTTCAGATAACATTGACATGAACTTCAAATAATAAATCAAAACTTTGAGAAACCGTAATGATTAATTCTCAAATCTTGTCTATGAAAGAAAAGACTTTTGACAAACACTGGATACTGAAAAGCTGAGGATAATCATTTTTTTTATATAATAGGTCGGCAAAGGAGCAGACGGATTACCTGATGGTAAGCAATCAGTGCCGCCCATAGACACTCGCAACGGAGGAGTAACGAGTGCGTTGCCGACCTTTTAGGGATTAAGGATTTGGAGATTTAGGGATTGGGGGAGGGGAAAGATTGGGCCTCCGGTAACCTCACTCACACGACGAAACACAACGCAGTGGTTATTTCACGCCGGTTTTCTGTGAGGCCGTGGTATCACTCCGGTCGAGCCGACCCATTCGAGTCGAAGCATGGCTCTCCTACACTTAAAGTATGATATTGATCATGATAATCACAAAAAGGGGACTTGATTCGATCCAATGAACCTTTAAGATTTTGAAATCCAAAAGCCCAATTTTAGTCTATTTACTATTTATATAAACAGAAATAGTAAGCCACGTGTGCGCTCGGGAATCGCCACCATTCCGGCCAGTCGTCAGTGTGGGTGAGGTGGGTGCAGCCGCTGGTGGTGGCGGTGGTGCTGCAGTGGAACTCCTGGACCTGGCTGAGAGATGCTGGGCTGAGGCAGCTGACGATAGACCGAGCTTTGATACTATCAACGCCAATTATATCAAGTAAGTGGTTCAGTTGTAGTATTTTTACTTTGTAAATTAATTTATGTCGATCATTGTGGCCCGTCTTTCGTTTTTTTTTTATGTAGTTTGTCGGCAAACGAGTAGACGGATTACCTGATGGTAAGCAATCAGCGTCGCCCATGGACACCCGCAACGGAGGAGTTACGAGTGCGTTGCTGACTTTTTAGGGATTAGGGATTTGAGATTTAGGGATTAGGTATTTGAGATTTAGGGCTTAGGAATTTGAGATTTAGGGATTGAGGGGGATTGGGGGCGGGAAAGAATTGGGCCTCCGGTAACCTCACTCACACGGCTAAACACAACACTGTAATTGTTCCACGCCAGTTTTCTGTGAGGCCGTGGTATCACTCCGGTCGAGCCGACCCATTCGTGCCGAAGCATGGCTCTCCCACAAAACGTGCCTGCCTAATCCCTTTCTTTTTTTTTTTTTTTTTTTAATTTAAATAATTTATTCAGTAAAGTTACAGAAAAGTGTCCTTATCATCTAAACTCGCCAAACTTTAACGTTTGATGGCGAGAGGCGCTCTTTATACAATAACATATTAAAATTTATACATAATAGGGAATTTAGTACCTAGGTGCAATTACTTGGGTTTTTTTCTTTAAAATTTAAATATCCCTATTTTATGCATACTATGTACTTATAGCTAGGTATGACACAGTTTATATAATAATTATTATTGACTAACATAACAAACAAAACATAAAAACACACACAAACATAACATTCTTACTTCTTATTAATAATCTAATATAAAGCTTTTTAATTTTGACTTAAGAGATCCTTTGGGTAACTTTTTCCCTTCTTCTCTTAGCATCTCTATTTTATTAAATATATTAGGAACTAAGTATGCGGATGTTCTCTTGCCATAATAATTTTTTATCTCTGGTAATATTAGTTTTTTTTCTCTAACCCTACGCGTATTATATTTGTTCTTTATATTAACTTTATAATCGTCATTAAAATAGTATTGCAAACCTACTAAATAATCTACTTTTTTGTCTATGGGTAAAATTTTACAAATAGAAAATAACTTATCATACTCTTTTTTGCAACTATCTTTAACATTTTTACTTACTAGGAACTTTATCAGTCTTATTTGTATATCTTTAATGTCTTTTATATATGTAATAAATGTTCGACCATACACAAGGAGGCCATAACTTATTAACGAATCTGCAAGAGTAAAGTAAACTAATCTGAGAGTCTTTTTGTTCAGTACACTTTTTAATTGATAAATCTTACTTAATACAGATCTTAGTCTATTACAAATGTCGTTAACATGAAATTTCCAGTTAAAATTTTTATCTATTGTTAGGCCTAGGTATTTGAATTGAAGTACATTATCTAGTTTATTACATTTGCAGTTGTTTTTATTTCTATGTAGACATTCATAAGTGTGCCCTATTAGTGTGATATGTCCATTGTCTACTGATCTGGCAATATGATTGTACGGGGAATGTATATGCATAACTTTAGTTTTTGTAGTGTTTAAGATAATTCCGTTATCGTGTGCCCACTTGCTAATATTTTCAAAGTCCTCCTGTATAAACGTTTGGGCTTCCACTATATTTTTGGATGCATAGATAAGGCACATGTCATCAGCGTACATGAACACTCTACATCTGTTGACGACATTTGACACACTATTCACATGCATTATGTATCCCACTGGCCCGAACACCGATCCAGTCGGCACACCTAGGTCTACACCCGCCTCTTCCCCTGTCTTGCCAGCTATCATTGTACTTATTTTTCTATTGGTTAGATAGTCTTTGAACCAATTATTTGTGGACCCACGTATTCCACAATCGTCCATCGCCTGTAATAAGATATCATGGTCTAATGTGTCAAATGCCTTTTTGTAATCAATAAAAAGAGCTATAACCTGTTTCCCCGAGTCTAGCGAACCATTGATGTAATCAGAAAAACCTAATAAAGCAGAGACAGTGTTCCGTCCTCTGCGGAAACCATGTTGTGTGTCACATAATATTTTATGTTGTTCTAAAAACCCACTAATCTGACCTACAATTATTTTTTCAGTAATTTTATCAATAACTGATAGAATTGCGATTGGTCTGTAATTTACAAATTCCAGATGGCTACCTGATTTGTAAATAGGACGGATAATTGCCTTTTTTAACATGTCGGGATAGGTACCAGTAGTTAGTGAATTGTTTATAAATAAAGCTAAAACCGGACTTATTCTCTTTTTTATACATATAATGTCCTGCGCTCTTATTGTATCTGGACCGGGGGCTTTTTCAGAAGACAAATTCTCTATGACCTTTTCTACATCTCTTGGAGTGATTGTTTTATATCTGTAACTCACCTCACTCGGTTTTACATATTTATTTCTATCTAAGAATTTTGAGTTACAGGTATGTTTAATTGCCTTTATTTCCTCCGTAAATGTTTTAGAAAACTGTGTACAAATTTGTTCTATGCTGTCCGTCTTTCCTAAATGCTTTAATATAACATCATCTAAGCTATTTTTATTTCGACCTAACCATGTATTTATATTCGCCCATATCTTCCTATAATCTCCATTACATTTTGTAATTTGTTCCTGTCTGTATTTATTTTTTGCATCATTAATTTGTTTATTTACTTTATTTCTAAATTTTGTGTAATCTAATCGCTTATTCATATTCTGAGGATCCGCTTTCCATATTCTAAATAAACTATCTTTGCGTAATAACATTGTATACAATTCTCTATTTACCCATGGCTGTCTTATTGTTTTCTTATTACCTACTTTAACTTTAATTGTACTTTCTCTGTAAATCTGTTCAAATACACTACACATAGTCTTATACAATACTGTCGGACATGATATATCAAGTAACTGTTTCCAATCATATTCGCTCAGTTTTTGTCTCACATTTTTGTTACAAATCACTTCGCGCACACTAATACTTTTGCTATTGACACTCACACACTCATTTTCTTTACCACTCACACATAAGTTTAACGATACACCCACTGCATGATGGTCCGCAATGCGCGTCTCAAGGACGTACGCGCTCGCGTCGCACTCGCTCCGTCTCACTCGCACCCAGATGTGATCCAAACACGAAGTCTCGAGCCGGCCGTCCACGATCGCTTCGCGCGTTACCTCTTCGCTAGGTATTGCACACAGCAGGCCGCATTCACACAGGGCGTTTTTGTACCTCGTTACGGCGGGGTTCGAGGTGTCATTTAAGGTGTTAATGTTGGTGTCACCAATCACAATTACGTTGTCACATGCTGGAATAGACTTTGTTAATGTCTTTAATTGTTGGATAAACATTATTTTATTATTGGCAGGTGGTCGGTAAATCGCAAAAATATGAGTTTTATTTTTCCCGTGCTTTAGTTGTCCATGTATTGTTTCTACTCCCTTTGTGTTAACTATTGCAGCTTCAAATTTCAATTCGTTCTTGGCATATATTAGTAATCCTCCTCCTCGTTTGGTTTCCCTCGAATGTATATAAGTATTATATCCAACAATTTGGTATAGCGGTAGTTCTTCCTTTTTAATATTTATCTCGCTTAATATAAGTATGTCTATATTATATTTAATTTTATCCAGCAATACTATTAATTCGTTAAAATGTTTTCGGAGGGATCTTATATTAAGGTGTAGTATTTTAGTGGTGATTGAATCTTGGGATAAGTCCTTCTGTAAAGCCATTATATCAGAATATCTTTTAAAATTTAAGTCACTGGATATGTCATCTATACGATCGAATGTTGCTGTTTAATATCACCTAGTGTGTGACGCGCCGCGTTAAGTACGCGTTTGTTTACGTACTTTCCTCGAACTTTTTCAAATCGTCTTCCGATCTAATGTTATAGATTTTTTTCTCCTCGCTATTCTTTTTAACCAAGATATTACAGTTTTGAACCCATATGTACTGAAAACCTTTTGGTTTAAGGTTATTCCTTACCATCCAAAGAAGTTGTCGCTTATACTTTGGTAAATCTTCGTTAATATAGATTCTGTTTTCGCTACCGTTATCATAAACCTTGTCATTATATATCTTAGACTCCTTTTTTACCAGCATCCAGTTATTTCGGGCAGACTTAGATCTCAGCGTGACCAGCACAGTCTTGGGCTTAGTATCATCCGGCTTTTCTTGGCCTACCCTCTGCGCATCTTCGATATCATTTGGGTCCAATTTTAGTTTCTCAGCCAGTTTTCTAACTACTTGTTTGGTGTTTTCGTTTCCGTGTTTCTCTAATCCGTGAATTTCGATGTTTTTCTCTTTATCTCTTACCTCCAGATCTTGTATTCTTTCCTCTAAAGCTTTATTACATTTCTCCAGATACACGTTCTTCTGTTCCAGAGCCTTAATTTTCTTCTGCGATTCTTCTTTGAAATCCATTAATGTTTGGTACATATCAGCGTAAAATTCGACGCTATTGGCCAGTTCTTCTATTTTCTTTTCCAGGTTATAAATCACCGCCAATTTCTTATTGACCTCGGCTAATACGTTCTCTCCAGATTCTTCCCTCGGATTTAAAGTAATTTAAGCATCTTCAGCGCATTGTTTAGGGCTGCATTTATTTATTTGGCAGTCGTCGCAGAATGCATTATTTAAAAACTTTTTGTTTACACATTTTTTGTGGTAAACATTTCCACATTCACCTTTACACTTCACTATGTCGTCTTTAACTAAAGATACAAAAAGATTGCACTTCTTACATTGCACCATTTTTGTTTATTTTAATGTTTTTATTAATTCACAATTTAGTACGTAACGATACACACGACCGTGCGTTGAGCGCGCGCGCACGAGACTGGAGAGAGCGCTCGAGATCTCTTGAGATTGAGATTGAGATCTCTTTCTGACTCCGGGCTAGCAATGGTTATTTTATTTGGACTTTTCCTGACGTGGAAAACAAACCCGATCAGACTCTACCGTGCGATAGGGTACAAGAATAGCGTGTCCTACTATACAACTATCGTGAGACATACTAAATTAACTAAAAATCGCGGGTTACTCACGTGGATATACTGAGAAAAGCTCTACTAATTTCGAACCACAGAGGGGTTCTTCATCATGAGCGTGTCGATGTCGCGCAGCCTACTGGACTCTCCAATTCAGCTATTTTCTTTGAAGTTAGTTAGTTACTCGTATTATCTTTATTCCTTTTTTACATCATAATTTTTTTACTTCCTATATTTATATAACTTGTATAACCAGGGGCTACTGTGACAACCTAATGGACGACCTCCTTCGTCGTATGGAACAATACGCGAACAACTTGGAGTCGCTCGTTGAGGAGAAAACTGAACAATTGTCGCTGGAGAAACGGAGATCGGAGGAGCTACTGTATCAAGTGCTACCGAGGTATTAATATCAGTGAATAATATAGAATGTAGAATAAATAATACACAAATTATAAGACTATTATGAGCAAGTTATGCCAACCGCATATATTGATTGATTATCCTGATTTTATTCTACCGGTGTTCATGTCATTTGTCCAAGCGCACCTGGAGAAAACCACGATAATAAAAGATTTCGTCGTTATACAAGTCTGTCTTATTCCTTTAATATTTTATTTAAATACTAATGTTATGTTAATATAATTTCAAGTATACATATTATAATTAAAAGTGGTGGAATTAATCATAAAGTAGAAGAAAGGAAAAAAAACAGCGTTATGTACAAATTGATATAAAATAGAATAGTGAAATGTTAAATATAAATCACAAATTTAAATCACGTTAAATAATTGTATTTACCCCAAATAATTCACGTGACATTTACGTGTAAATTATGAAATGTAAAGTTATAAACTAACACGAATTAAATTTATCAAATTCGACACGAAGCCAGAACATTGTGGTGAGTTGGGTTTCGACATTGTAGTTACAAACTTCAGTCATGAAAATTGTTTTATACATTTTTAATTTTCATAAAACCGTAATTTGCGAATTTGCGAAGCAAGTTTTTGAAGTAATTAATTGTAAATTATCAACCTGACCTTTTTTTCTGACTGCCGATGTGAAATCTGAATGTATGTATCTTGGAGTTGCTCTCCTGATTAAGCAAAATTATGAAAATCCTACTGAAACTTTCTTATTCTTGAGCTCTTTTTAAATGTGTGTATGTGAGCCTCTAAAAAAGTTTGGGCTAAGTCATACGTAGTCCCTTTGCATTCAGTTCGAGACAACAAATTTCACCACGTTTATCTTTTGACCTGATGGTAAGCAAAAGCAAACATGACAGTTTAATCTTATTTTCACTCAGGCCAGTGGCGCAGCAGTTGATGGCAGGTGAAGTGGTCCAGCCAGAGAGCTTCGAGTGCGTGACGGTGTACTTCAGTGACATCGTCGGCTTCACGGAGCTGTGTGCCGCTTCCACGCCCATGCAGGTGGTGGACCTCCTCAATGACCTCTACAGCACCTTCGACAGGATTATTGGATTCTATGATGTTTATAAGGTGAGTGATTTTGTTTTTTTTTTATTTGTACTACGTACTAGGTAAAGTCCTATTTCATTTAGTGAACGGAATGCGTGTGGGGGTACTTAGATGTGTTCTGTGTACTGGCGTTGACTAATAAACTTTATTTAATGTCTTTTATGTTTTTCTGTTTGTCATTGAATATTTTTGAAAAGTCTTGAATAACGGCTATTATATAATTTTACATGTTTTAGAAAACATGATGCGAAAGCCGCTTTTTATTTTCATAATCGCTATGGTAGAGATTTTTTTTGTCCCTAATTGTGTACTCCATAATTACTATATGTTCAATTTCTGAACTATACAAGCATCTTCATTCCTTTTAAAAACTAAAACCTTCACCAGCCAATCTCCTTAATTCCTATTTTATTATAAAGGTGGAGACAATAGGCGACGCCTACATGGTGGTGTCTGGTCTCCCGGAGAGGAACGGCGACCTTCATGCTCGGGAGATCTGTCTCATGGCACTGGCTATTGTGGAAGCTGTCAGAGGATTTGTAGTGAGACACCGACCTACACATCGATTAGAGGTATACATAATAATATTGAAAGCTATCGTAGATGTTGATAAGCCTATGTACTATTAAAGCTGTTTTGAACCCCAGAACTATGAGGTCGAATTTAATATTAATTTTTGTGTTAGATAGACGAATTCATTTATCAAGGAAGTGCAGTTTTCAATGAAGTTACACTAGTATATTTTGGGAGAACATTAAAATGTAATTTAAATTGTGTTAATATAAGGTTCGTATTGGAGTGCACTCGGGCCCTGTCTGCGCCGGAGTAGTGGGGGTCAAAATGCCTCATTACTGCTTGTTTGGAGACACTGTGAACACTGCCAGTCGCATGGAGTCAACTGGACAACGTGAGTTATTTGATTTAGTTAATAAGGTTTTATGATTAAGACTAAAATTTATTAAATCCGACTCCGACTATAATTATAGGGATGATAACAGAATATGAAAATCAAAAAAGGTATTTATGACTGCACGGTTGGCGCGGTGGCTGGGCAACTGGCTGCCGCGCAACGTGTCGCGGGTTCGATTCCCGCACGGAACTACTCTTTGTGTGATCCACAGATTCTTGTTCCGGGTCTGGGTGTGATGTGCATGTGAAATTGTATGTTTGTAAACGCACCCACGATACAGGAGAAAATCCTAGTGACCCCACACAACGTTTTTTTTTAATAAAAAAAAATTTAGTCTGGCATTTAAATAATGAAAAAATATTAGACAAATATTGTTTATTTCTGTTATAAAACGAATTTAAGCTTACACCCAGTCCTAAAAGGTTCTGTATAAAATAGTCACATGTAAACGTTATTTTATTTCAAATCTAGATATTTCTTATACAAAGTTATTACCAAAAACAAAATTTAAGTTTCCAAAGTAATGTCATTGATGAATAGAATGTAAAAAAAATTGCATGTCATTATCTTCTGACTGTATACGGAACTTATTAATATAGGTATTTTGAAACACCTTTTATGTAACTGTATTCAAGAGCAAATAAATCCTTTGACTTTGATTTTCAATCGTCTTAATATGAGACACAATAGTAAAACAGCACAATAAGCAATGTATCGGTAATTTCCAACTTAATGATTGTTCCTGGAAGTCCCAGGAATAAACATAAATGTAACCTCGTAGACATAAAACTTGGCATGCACGAATTTACGCGGAAATAAAAATACCAACGGAACAAAGATTTAGGTGACAGAACGAGCCAGGTTTCCTTAAGAAGTACCTACGTTCACTGCCAGATTTGTTAATTACAAACTCCGTAATAAAGTAGCGGAGCAATCATAAACGTCGGTCAAAGGATTCGGCGTTTATTTCTCTGAGCTTTATAGCGAGAACAAACAATCCCACTGTCAACAGAGCCGTTTTAATTAAAATTTGAAATGAGACTTTTTTGTGTATACCATTTCGAAGAATAGTAAAAGTCTTCGTTACTATTTGCAATTGGTATCGTAACCTAACTTTACCAAAGTAATTGTAATATGAAAAATCTAATCTTTTTCAGTTTCAGTTAATGGTTAGTATAGTATATATAATAGTTTTAGTTTAATATTACTATGAAACGAAATACTTCTTTATAAAAGAGAGCTCGAAACTCGCTATTCCCATTTAGCTCCATAATGTTCAATCTCGTCAAGAATTCAATCGGAAAATAAACCTTTTTTTAATATCTATTTTCTTATTAAAAAAACCTTCTTTTAATAGGTATTTATTTTCTGTAAGTAATTTTGGATGCGAAGTAATCTTTGGAACCATTGCTCGGTTTTTCTCAAATTCTTTGTCTGATGGATAGTTATAATGTTCTTGAGTGCTATAGGCTATAAAACATTAGGCAAAGATCTAGAGGATCCGAGAAGCGAGTGAGACCACGTGAAAGTAGTTAGATCGAAAATAAAGCTTTATCATTCAGCCAAGTCTCACAAATACTCCTACAACCCAATAGAAAAAAAACTCTGAAACTAAGATCTAACCTCAACATAAACAAAACCTAACATCGTCTCCAAGAAACCTAACTTGTCAATCTCTTCCAGCTTTGCGCATCCATCTAAGCGAGAATACTCGAGCATTGTTGGACCAATGGGGCACCTTCGTGGTGGAGCGTCGTGGTGAAGTGGAACTCAAGGGTCGTGGGAGGATGCTCACTCATTGGCTGCTGCACTGCTCAGAGCCCGAAGCCAGGCCACCAACACAAGGACTCCAGCCACCTCCACAATATCCTATACTGTTCCCAACATTGCCACAACCGGCTTTATCGTTACAAGTTCCTTATTTAGTTGTTGAACCTCCTACTTTAGCTGCTTGAAGAGATTATTATTTATATTTGTGTCTGAAAGTGTGTATTGTAGATATCTTATTTCCAATTTCCTTTTTGAATGTATAGTTTTGAATGTTAAAACATTTTGTGACTTTATTTCATAGCATTAATATGCCTTCTAAATAACGAACAAAAACAATAAATATTTTTACTTGGTCTTAAATCATCAATAACTAAAGTGCCCGCCATAAACAATATTCAAGATAAATTCCAAACAATTTTTATTAACCAGGCCAAGCGATAAAACATAAAATATGGAAGGATAAACCAAAAATAAACAAGAACGTGAGTGAAAATGCTAATTTTATGAGTATTTTATCCGCTTTCCAGTAGTTAATGACTTGACAGTGATAACATTTACATTTTACAAGCTTTATATCACAATGGTAATATAACGAGAGAATTTGCATTTAATCTACATGGACTTTCTATATTATCTGTGATGCATTCGGATACATATTAACGTCTTGGCTTAAAGGACTTGTATCCAAGCCATAAACTCCAAAAAAAAAAAACATGTTAACGTCACTTGGGATGTTCGAATTTCGAACGTTCAAATAAACAAATAAATAAAAATTATAAATAGCGCTTATTTAAAACGATTGAATATTCTAGAATGAAAAAAACTTTTTTATTTCTGATATTTGGTACTTATGATAAAATAAATTCAAATGAAATTCGAGTTATCCTTGTGTTTTTCGACTTTACGTATTTGACCAAGTTCGTTCATTAATATTTTATAATAATATTAACTGAAATCCTTTTTAATCTTTATTTAAGTTCTCTTATTAACTAGACATCAAAGGATATGATTAGCCTTTGAGCTATACCGGAGTCTGGCGTTTTGAATTAAATAATATTACAGAATAAATTATACTTTTGCAGAAAGCTTGCAAAAATAAAAACAATACCCTTCCTACAAACGGGTTAAAAGTGGAAAAAGAAATTTTATATTTTGCTTTTGAAATTGCTTATTTTCAATGTAGGTCATTCCTACACACATAAAATATATTATCGTACGCGAAACAGAAAATATTTTTATTGTTAAAGAATCCAAGCAGAACAATATTAACCGTAAAATAACAAACCTTTTTTTTAAATAAACATTTTAGGCATTGCAGAATAGAATTCAAATTTCAAATTTAAATATCTTCAACAAGTTTAGTAATATTAAACTGAAAATTACTCCGTGTATCCTTGGAGCGTAAAAACATAACCTACGGTAGATTACACCTCATGTGCGTACAGTTTGACAAATGAAGGAGTATAAGTTAAAATTACGGCTGGTTTTACTGTACTGGAACATTTATAATCTGTGGCTTACGTCAGGGATGCTATTGATATGGTATTTCGGATCTAGATAGGGATATGGATATGAAAGGAAGAAGAAAAATATTCCAAATATAAAAAAAATGTGAAGCGAAAAATGATTAGCGTTCAGTTTAATGCGGTGCCCTGTCAAAGAAGATTCGAGTCCACTACGCAGATTTTCAGTACATAGGAATAAAATGATATTGATTTCGAATATGGTTTAGGTAATTATTTGGTATTATCTATGTTGGTTATCTTTGGTAAGGGATATTAGCTTGAAATAAAATCAATAAACTAACAACCTATAAAAAGGTTATGTTATGATGGGAAATGACAAACAATTTGCAAAAAGCGAAGGTGAAATAAAAATCTGTCGGAACATACTTTATTTAGTTCAGCCCTTATTCGAAACTATCCGAAACTTTTGAAATGGATACAGTTTTGGTTATGGTTTCGGAGCTCCATACCATCCCTTGGCTACGTATAAGAAATGTGACGTCGGAATCACCTACTAAAAAAAAATATAAAAATGTTCGGTAGAGGTTTCTGACTTCTCTACACTGTATACTTATTTCTAAATACTTACGTGTCTATCCTTATTTTATTTTTAAGCTTATCGTCTTGTAGCGCTTCGACCGCCTTAGGCGAATGTTGAAAAAATTTTTTTTTAGTTTTATACAAACTGTTTACAAAAAAAGAATGTAAATATGTTTTTGTTACATTTCATAAGTGTTACTGTGTGTTTTTTACGGTTTTGGTTGGTATTTTATGATATTTTTAATGTGAATGGTACTTAAGAATAATTAATAAATTATATCTTCTGCGGCCTATGTCTAGTTACTCGTGTAAATTGTAGTTTAAATCTAGATATAAGAAATAAAATATCTCTTTTATATCAATCTATCATTTATATCAAATCCTATTTTATAAAACTGTTTAGTATATGATTTCTTTAAATAAAATTACATTTTTTCTAGATCTAGCTGAATCGTAGAACACAATTCTTTATATATTATCGATAAATACTAACCATAAAATAAATATCGTTGTCTCTAAATGTCTATTTTTATATGAATGTTGAAAACTAATTTATTTGTAATGGATGCTTTTATTTAGTTTTACGTCAATTAACTGTGAAAAATGACAATTATTTTCCATGTTTGGTGATAAAATAAATACGAAAATTTATTAATATTGTAGTTTTATTTGAAAATGAACAGAAAGTAGTTTTGTTTGTGCTCAAAACTTCTTAATTGGATGGGCGACCCAGTCCAGCAACTGGCGTTAACAAAACCTACACATAATATTACGAGAGCAAAATTCTAATCAAATCGTAACTACGTCTAGACAATCGAAAAAACGTCACCTCTTCACAGAGAATATCGCACCCACAAGCATCAAGCGGTTGGACTCCAGTTTTATATGAACCGCCAAAGGTGTGGAATTTTTTGCCAGTATGTGTGTTTAACAAAGGGTAAGCTTCGTTAAGCCCAAGTGAATAGATTACTTATAGGTAGGTTCTGCTCTATCGTATGTCCCATCATCACTTACCACAAGGTGAGATAGCGGTCAAAGACCTACCCGTACTCTTCCTACAAAATAAAAAAGGTCACCATCTAAGATCCTAAAGCAGCTAATCGAAATATACATTATTCTTTATAATCTTTAACAAACGCACGCTCCTTCGTCATCGCATCCAACTTACTCTTTTTCACGATGGTATAGTTAGATGACTTCTTCCTTAAAATCTCACAAAAGAATATTATAAAAGAAATCAAACAGCCAAACATGAGACAGAGAAAGCAAGTAAGGGTCTGATGCTGAGTCAATGGCGAAGGATCAGAATTTATGGAAGGAACGTACGTCGTCTTCAAGTTCGCTTCCTTCTCCAACAAACCGGTTTCAATCATCCTTGGTAACCAGACAGAGAGCGGTCTCACAAACGGAGAGTACATCTTCATCCACACCACCAATGGGACAGTTAGTATTGAGTCTGGTAACACATGCCCACACTCATTCTCTTTCTTCCCTTGTGCCAAGCAAAAAGCAAAGGCATACTCCAAGGATGTAGCCAGCACAAACTTCTTCTTCCCTTCCAAAACTTCGCGGAAAACATCTTCAAATTTCACTTCGGGAATTATTTCAAAGCCATCTCTGATTAAGGGATCAAATTCGAAATGGCCGTAAATGCCAGCCCTGCCGCCGAATTTAAACCCATTGTCAACAGTCTCTTTCAAATTCGCGAAATTTCCTGTAAGGGTATCTGTCTTCAGGGCGCCTATAAGGACGCTTTGGTATGCATTCCTGACGACAAAAGTAAACCAGATCCACAGTCCTACAATGTAGAAGTCCCTGAATCTTCTTGGGGCAACTCTGATAGTCTGACCTAGCATAGCTCCCCAAACCCTAAAAGCAGCTCCTTGAACCTTGTCAAAGTTCTTAAAATAACGATTGCAGAACCGTTTTGTGCGCTTAAATTTCAATACAAAAGGAAGGGAGATGACTATGAATGTAACTACCAGGAGAATAAGCCATAGATACCCATTTAATGGTGATAGTAGTCGCCACCACATAGGCCCTGGAGCAACCGGAGGAGCCAACCACGCAATACGAATACGAAAATACGGCATAGAATAGTCTAGAAGACCTAATCTGTCTACTCCCAGAGGTATGGTACACGTAGAAATGTTTGCAAACCCAGTTATAACGTCATTTAAAGAATCCGACCAATTCTTGGCTCGATCCGAATCGATGCTGATGTAATCTCTGGCTGATATTATGGGCGTAAAATTCATGATATCCCGAAGCAATCTCACTATTGATTTCTTGATTATTTGCAGCGGAATTTTTCGGTCAGTGCCTCCTTGGTGGTAGATTTTATTCGTCGAAATGTATAAAGGACACTCGTGCATGTTACTCATTTTATCTGGGTACATGTTTCTCAGAGACATGTCCGGCTTCCAATAACTGATGAGGGTCGGTTCCGTGTTCTGACAATTCAAATGATTTCTATAAGGATAGTAAGTGAACATGGCAATTTTGTTCTTCTTGTCTTTCGTTAAGATTATTACATCAGTGACGTAAAAGCTCCATAAAATGGTGGTGATGTGGTCCAGTTTTTTTCGGTTTGAATTGATCACGATTAGAAACTTTGCTCCTCCATTGAATAAGTTGCGTCCTCTCAAATCCGACCTCATTTTATTGAGGAGCCTCATGAAGGATTGATAGTTATCCACTATGATGACGACTTGTTTCGCAGGCTCTGTTCCTCTACTTTGAATCATTACCGTTCCTTCATAAGCCTTCACGAAATCGGTCACCATTTTGTTGTCAATATCATTGTACAGAATTAAAGCTGCATGTCTGTAATTAAAGTTGTTAATTGCAACTTCTATAGCGCAGCTAATGAGATCGTCTCGTCTCTCAAAGCAAAATGAGATTTTTATAAAAACGATTGCAAAATAAAAGGTCTTTACACAGAACATTTTAGAATGGAAATGACTATAGTGTCGACTGCTATTTCAAAAATGACTGTGAAAACTTTTTGTTGGAAAATTGATGGATTGCGAATGTTTCTGACTTTAAAAGGCAATAAATCATCTTTTGTTTCAAATGTTGCGTTGGTGTTAGCCAACGTTTCCCATCTTTTGATGGATACATGAAGCTAATGCAGTTGTTAAATCAAAACTAAACGTATTCCTAACTGTGATAAATCATTTTATAATGGGTAATGACTATTGATCTATTATCTTTCTGTTTAAAAGATATGTGGGTTTTTTTTTGTGAGGGGAAAATCATCAAATGACCCCATCCCAGGGCAGGGCGGGAGGGAGTGTCACACTCTTACTGACTAAATCCCCCCTGTTCCTTCTCCTGCTCTGGACCGAGGTCGCGGTGCCTCATTGCGCTTACCCCGCAACCCCGGCTAAGTGAGTGTGATTTTGATATCAGTTTTAAGACCTGAATGAGTAAATCTTACAGGTTTAAGACATATCTAAAGAATAAGTAGGAGGATAGGGTTCGAATCCCAGATGCACCAATATCTTTTTTTTATGGGATAAGTCGCCATGGACACCCGCAACATCAATGGAGTTACGAGTGAGTTGCCGGCCTTTGAGCGATAAGAGATGTGGATATTCAAGGATTGGGCGGGATTGGACTTCTGGTAACCTCACACACACGGCGAAACACAAGGTTGTGGTTGTTACACCCCAGTTTTCTGTGTGGCCGTGGTATCACTTCGGTCAAGCCGACCCATTCGACATCGGTGACGATTCATATTCATTTTTGTGATTTGTTAATTACGAATTTTTTGGTTAATGACCTGGAATCGTGCGTGACCAATGTTAATTTATCTGAATTATTTGACACAAAAAATATCTGTTTGTTAAAAAAGCTATCAATAGACTCCACTTCCCTCATTTTTCTGCATCACTGCGCGCCTGCGTACCGAGCCATGCGTTACCATAGCAACGCGAATAACAACATTCACAAGTAAACAAAACAGAATCGAGAACATTGTTTAACTTCTAAGATTTGAAAAACAATTTAATTATAAGATGATGTGATATAATAATTACGTCATATTGCTAAATGAAACTTCGCTCTACTCATTTCAAAACCCTCATTAATTAGAATTATTGTTTTAGGGATTGCGGTTTAATTGGTCTAATATTTTATAAAACTTAATTATTACTTTATTATAGAACTATGTGTTTAGTATAGATTACAGTGTAAGTTAAGAGAGGTAATAAAATGAAAGATCTGTGGAACTTAATTTGGCTTTTTTTAACTATAAATATGTTAATTAACGCGAAAGAATTAGAAATGCCGGGTAGCTGTCAACAAGGTTTTTATTATGAACCTAGTAACCTAGGTTGTTTGGCTTGTCCTGCTAATGCTTCTTTGGTACCTTCTGCTGATGGTAAGTTTAAGTATTTTTTTTAACTTATTCACAACATCTCCATATCATATTAGAGCCCATTGCTGAGCACAGGCCCCTTCTCACGCGACAAAATTTTAATCATCCAGCATCAGCAAGCAGCACGTTTACTCAATGTGGTCCAGGTTCTTCACGATGTTATCCTTTACCTGTCTGTGATATCTCAATAATCTTAGAAAATACTATATACATATAAACTTGGGAGAAGTCACATTGGTATTTGCCACATTTTGAAAGCCTCACCCTTACGCATGAAAAGCGGCTTAACCTCCGACCTGCCGAAAATCAATGAAATAATAAAATACTGACATAGTATAACATACTACATAGTCTGGCCATAAATACTGTTACAATTAAAAATAAACAAAATATTACATTTGAATTTGGAATCTGTCATTTTTATATAATTTTTCATTGTGTTTTCTTATTTTGGCGCCAATAAATTGTTCAATATTTTGCGATATTAAAATGGAGTGGGGTGATAAAGAGAACCGAATCGCTGTGATTGCATTACACAAAGTGGGTATGGAGCCAAATGCAATTTTTAAAACTCTCCAAACGCTTGGCATTAGTCAAATGTTTGTGTACCGGGCTATTAATAGGTACAATGAGACCTCCTCTGTTTGTGACAGAAAAAAATCTAGCCGTCCACGTAGTGTTCGTACGAAAAAGGTGGTCAAAGCAGTAAGGGAAAGAATTCGAAGAAATCCTGGCCGAAAGCAAAACATTTTATCTCGGGAGATGAAGATAGCACCTAGAACCATGTCGCGTATTTTAAAAGACGACTTAGGACTTGCAGCCTATAAGAGACGCACTGGACATTTTTTATGTGATATTAAAAAAAAATAGGTTATTAAATCTAAACAACTACTGAAGTTGCCGTGGTATCACTCCGGTCGAGCCGACCCATTCGTGCCGAAGCTTGGCTCTCCCACACGTTTTAGATATTTAATAATAAGCTTGGCTCTCCCACACGTTTTAGATATTTAGATATTTGAAAAAGTTTCCATTATTCGATTTTTAAATTATTATTTTTTCTTTTAAGGATTTGGCTGTTCATGTGCAGATCATAGCGTGCCAGTGGGTATAGGTAGATGCAAGCCTTGCAATGCCACTGAAGTGGTGTCAGCTGATGGCCACTCTTGTGTACCACGTCGATGTCAAAACGTGTCTGGCAGGATCGCGTGTAGGAAGTGTCCTAATGATTACATTACAGGTTGGATTCGTTTACTTTTTTAGTGTGAAATTAATTTATTGAGAAGATTAAGAAAAAATAATTTTAGAAATATTTATAATCTTAAATAATTTCGGAGTCACGGCAGTTAAACAATTTAGTCCGATAGGACTAGGATAGGATTAGGATTTCTGTTTATGACTTTTATAGAACATGCACTATAAAAACGATCAGATGGATCTCCTGATGGTAAGCAACTGGCGTCGAAGATGGGGGGTGAGTGGGCTTGAATTTGAAAGATTCACTCATTTTTCGTAGGAATAGAAAGACAAAATTCAATTTATCTAGACTCTTTTTGATAACCAACGACTTCTAGTAACTTAAATCTTATTCACAAATAATAAGGGTTATTCTTCCAGTCACTCAAAATATTGACGGGTCTCCCCTCAAAGAGGTTCAATGCGTCAGATGCGCACGCGGCTTTAAGCCAGTAAACAACGTGTGCACACGCTGCGAGTCATGCGCATGCGCGAAGAACCAGATCATTGTTCGAGGCCTCTGTATACCGAAGACTTATGTGAACTCCAGGCCAAAATATGAAGAGAATAGTTTGCATCCACTTGCTCTTTTGGATGTTGTTAAACATGAATATTTGTGTATGGTAAGTGGAAATCCCTTCTTAACTGATAAAGGGGCTTATGAGCTATTATAATTCATCGAGCCATATAAAAACCTTAATCTATACAATGCCATTTATCAAGCTCCCTCATTTGTAGTCTTAGACAAGAACCGGCAAATATTAGTGGTAGTAGTCGTAGCTTGCTACGCCGTAGTCGCTACGGTTCCTTATATGCTACGCCTCTGTCTACGAGCTCGTAACGAAATCTTAGCCATCAATAATTATTTGCTTATTTCACAGCAAAATGACCTACGAGCATGTCACACTCTTGCTAATGAATGTGTCAGGAACTTCTACTCGACTGATACAGCTGGACCCTGTCGACTTTGGATACAGCCTAAATTGGCTACACCTAAAGGTAGTAAGTTTTATTTCTTTCAAGTTGTTGGATGTTTGATTTATCTGAAAATCATTTAAGGAGACCTGTGTAATGACATCGTAGCTCTTTAATAGGCTCAAAGCAACGAGGATTATCTAAATTGGATATTGTATAAAATATTACTCTGTACGACCAATGTCTCAGTTTTCCAATTTGTTATTTTGAAGGTCGCGGTTATGATAAACACTTGTAGAGTCTAGGGTGTAATTATATGAGACAAGCGAGGTAACCGAGTGTTGGAAGCCAACTGGCATTTATTACACATTCACAACAACATTGCCTAGCCTACCTTTATGCGTAGGTAATATAAATCCCATGCACTGAATCAATGTTGTATAAATCTATAACTGCATACATATACATAGCTTTAACTAATATTATAAAGAGGTAAAATTTGTAAGTTTGTATGATAAGGGGTAATCCTTGGAACCGCTAGTCGGATTGCCAAAATTCTTTCACTGATAGATAATTACAATGTTCCTGAGTGCTATAGGCTATAAAACATCACGCTACGATCAAATGGAGCTGAGCAGCGGGTGAAGCCGTGCGAGAGTAAAGAGTATAATATAATTTGATTCTTTATCCATGTATTCATTATTATATAATTTGAACATATAATAGCTTCATTTAACAAAAACTTAAACCATATCACAAATATGAAATGGGAGGTCATATCGCATTCTGCGATCTCTTTCTGATAACCCTTGAATGGACAGGGATTGGCAGTTTTGCAAGTTATCGAATGAGTTTTAAATTTATCGTTTATTTCACTTGATAACCTATACAAGAAAACTTTTAACATAAATGTATTATTTTTCATTTTAAAAACCAATAATTTTCTTTTATTTTTTTAAAGAGTAACCTTCATAAGTTTAGTGTTGTGATTTGAAACTAGTAAAGTATTTTCCCAGTTAATTTAGTAGCGTAAGTGGTTATTTAAAAAAGCCATGAATTAAAAATAATGGATCTGAAACATGTAAAACTTACACTCTCACGTGAATTACACATTACACAGTCACACTTGGACTCTCACAATGTCAATAGACAAAGTTGCTGAGCTTATTATTTCTCACGACAGTTAAAAATGCGATGTTCAGAATGTTTTTTTCTTCGTAGCGTTATACAAAACTTCGTTGTAATTCGAAGCTCCCAACTAATTACTATCAAAACACGTTAATACATTATTCATTTGAAAATAATACCAAGTTAATTAATACGAAGATTTTTCCTTTAACACTAAAAGAAAAAGGAAGCTCATCTTCAATTTATGATGAAGTAATTTATAACCACACTTAGACCAAAGGGATTTATTCTACTAGTTTGCATATAAAAAACGGTTTATTCTTCCAACTAGGAGAACGAAATCCAATCTTATTGTTTACGCAATAAAGAACTTTATTAAAAAACAATGGTAGAAGAATGTTCTTATTTTCTTTTATTTTATTACAGCATTACCGCGACTCATTGTGGAATCAACGTTGGAGGATAAAAATCCAGGGGAAACTTATATTGGAAGGAGAAAGGTACGAAGGCAAGACGCACTTTATTTTCTGCTAATTTTCTTTCATGATTGTTGTACCGCTATTTAATTTATATTATGTTATGTTAACACGCATTTTATCCCCCAAGAGTTACCCGTTTACATCAGGTTACCCCGTAGAACATCGGTTATATAATTGACGCCACGGTATCAGTACTTTTTTGTAATACTTGTACGTAAAATTGTACTGAAAAACATTGAAGGCAATTCCACACAAATAAAAACACATCTTCATCGCTCGAGTCTTCCTTTCGTCTCACCCAAGGCGAGAGAAAGGACTGGACGATTTTCCTGTCTTAAGAAAATCTTCTCATTAAATCTATTTAAACTTTCAGCAGGACTCCATACTGATTGCGGCAGCAGTGTTCTCATCGGATGGCCGTTTCAAGTTTATGAAGGACTCAAACCAAGATCATACCTCGTGCCGTCTTCCCGTTAAAATTAGAATCGGTCGAGACTTCTCGTGAGTTCCAAACAATATTTGTGATGAAAACAAATGAAACACAATGCCTCGCTCCTCGAATTTCTGGGAATAACGAAAATCTTTTAGCTTTTGTTCTGAAGGATTTCGAGGAACTCGTAAAATGGCTATTGTACGATGTTCTAGAGCTATTACGTCTGAACTTCGAAAGGAAAAATTTAAGAGATGACCAATTACGTTTAAGGTCAAATGTTATTTTATGGATATTGTGTTTCGTACTCTGTAGACTCGAGAAATTTAAATAAGGTTCATTTACACGGTACCAGTTTTCTTGAACCATACATATAAGAGCAATTTTTTTTTTATGTAATTGGTCGGCAAACGAGCAGACGGATTACCTGATGGTAAGCAATCAGCGCCGCCCATGGACACTCGCAACGGAGGAGTTACGAGTGCGTTGCCGACCTTTTAGGGATTAGGGATTAGAGATTAGGGATTTGGAGATTTAGGGATTGAGGAGGGATTGGGGGCGGGCAAGGATTGGGCAATTATCAAAATCAAAAAATTGAAGGCTCGTTAACATTGTCACATTTTATATTTATACATTTTTAGATTTGATGCTAGCGAAGCCGTAATTAAAAGCTAGTAGGTATACCATAACATAATGTCACATAATAAACATACGTTTACCTATACATACATATACAATGTGACACTCACTCGCCACCGGTAATGAGTACCACGCAATTTTGTATTGTTTTCTAGTCTTTGTGAAAATAATAATAGGCAAAAATATAACATTTTGGTAGATTTATTCATTATGAGTACTGGTTTTATAATAAGAATAAGAACTCCGTTCATTGTATTAAATGAAAATAATTTTCCATTTCGTTTTTCTTTTTGAATTCGGAATAAAAAAATATTTAAAAAAATCCGTAACCTAATTTATAACTTTTTCTAAATTATTGAATTTAAATTTTTTGTTTATTTAAGCTGAATGCTGACTCGAAATGAATTTTATACTATTGATTGTACTCGTTATACTCAAAAACATTACCATACTCATATCTAGAGTAAACTTGTTTTTCAAATAACATTGTAAATTATAACTTCAAATGAAAGAAATTATTCTGTCTTCTAATCTGCAAAAAGGTCACAAGGTCATGAAATGATAAATAAAAAAACAACAAACATTGATAAGCACTTATGTATCAAAATAAATAACATTAAAACTCAATAAAACTTGACGAAATTCTTACAATTTCAACTTGATCAAAGATTTTCTGTCCCCGTCTTTTCTTCTACGTGCTCTTAAAAGAATTAACGATACTTATGTAGTTCACGTACCTACGCACAAATATTTTTATATTCGTCTAAACAAAATAAGTCCTATAATAACATGTAGATATAATTATTTCATTACTGTTTCTAACCCACTTCTTGTGATGTATAATTTGTATGAGACTCGCACAGAAAATATATACAATTACAATTACATTTTATATAAGTAATTATATATATTTTGTATAAAAAAAGAAAAACAAAAAAAAACAAAACAAGTACAAAAAATAATAAAAGATAAAATAAAAGACCTGTGTGAGGTCAAAAAGGCCACTATCTCAGCATACGCTGCGATTATTCACCAGTAGGTAAAAATACCGCTGCGTATTATGATAGGGCCTGGTGATATCACGGACACACTTACGGAACACAGAGACAGATATTACATATACATATATTATATTCGTATTGGAAAATGTACCTCTTTTATATGATTCGTCAGCAAACAAGCAGACGGATTACCTGGGTGGTAATCAGCGCCACTTATAGAGACCCGGGAATGAATAGTGCGTTGCTGCCCTTTTGGGGATTCGTTTTTCGAAGATTTAGGGATTGAGGGAGGATGGGTGGATAGGAAAGATTAGGCCTCCGGTAACTTTTACTCACACGATGAAACAACGCTGTGATTGTTTCGCACTATTTTTCTGTGACTGTTGTTTTACTGTTTTCTGTGCGCCTACGATAAATAAAAAAAAAACAAAATGATGGCAAACTGCTTTTTCGGTAACTCATCCACTGCGCCATCCACGCAGATTTATGAAAAAGATAAACAGATATCAACATTTTATATCTCAATTCATATCAGTAGAATGAATAAAAAAAATATACATCTTTTGTAAAAAGAAAGCTTTCAATGCTGTTTCTCATTTTTATCTTCAAAAGATCGGACCCATGCCTTTCAAATATATCTCCGGAAATTGAAACATAAATCGGAATTCTAGAATAGAAAAAAAGTAAATAACGGCTCACGTTTCTATTTTGTGTTTTTTCAGGTCATTTAGACACGTATGTCTGTACTAGGTATACCCGTGACTTCGTTTTAATATTTTTTAATTATTTGTTAAATATGTAAATTTTTTATATCCACTTATAATACCTATATAAAGAGGAAATCTTTTACCATTTGAATGCTACGTTATCCGCAAGTAACATAGGCTATACTATATTATTTTTGATAACATTGGGATCCCTTAAAATCAACTAGAAAACTTACTTAATTTGCATACGCTATGTAAACTATAGAAAATAGACCCATAAAATGTTCAAATCAATTATAGATCTTATAAATGTCTGCAAAGTCCGCGACACACTACCTATCTATATCGACTGATACAATACAACAATTTTAAACAAACTTTAATTCAAATAGAGTCCGAGAAAGTTATAATAGTTTTTTTACACTTGTATTATCCTACATCACGGGTTTTTTAAAAATTTACAAAAAAATAGTTTTATATTCACATCACAGTCAAACCCGGAACAACAATTTCTGGATCAAATAAAGAGTTATTTCGAGGATCGAAGAAAGTGTGGGAGAGCCATGCATCGGCACGAATGGGTCGGCTCGACAGGAGTGATACCACGGCCTCACAGAAAACCTGCGTGAAACAACTACAGCGTTGTGTTTCGCTGTCTGAGTGAGGTTGCCCGAGGCCCAATCTTTCCCCTCCCACAATCCCTACATCTCCAAATCCCTTATCCCTAAATGGTCGGCAACGCACTCGTAAGTCCTCCATTGCGAGTGTCCATGGGCGACGCTGATTGCTTACCATCAGGTTATCAGTTTGCTCGTTTGCTGATCTATTACATATAATAAATCGACCCCGCGATACGTTGAACCGCAGCCGGTTTTCCAGCCACCGTGTCAACTTTGGAATCAATGAGAATATTGTTTACCGTGTAACCTTTACGCGGGTCAAGAGAGTTATAAAATAAAATAAATTCCCTTTAATTTATCTTTCCTTCATAACAGATCTAACCTAATTATTTTCTTGGATAGCGTTAATATAATTTTATGGCCGGTGGATGGGCGATTAAAACTTTTCTTCGTTTTTGTTTTTTTTTATCTTATGACTGTGGCACTACGCCCATGAAGATAATTATCAAAACTTTCGACATTCCGTTTATGAATGTATATATTTTAAAATTGAATGTTTTAATTGGTCATTTCTGTTGTTCATATTTTTAATTTGTACGTTACCTTATAAATACCGTAATAAATTGTGATTAAAGAAACAACTGATACAATCTTACTTTCTATTTATTATTTTTCATTAACCGAGTACCAAAAAGGTCCTAAAAATAAGGATCTGTATTGGGATATCTTTTTACGGTTTTTGAATAAAGAATAGAATGTTTTTATTGCCTTGCATATTAAATAAAACATACAAACTTTTTTATTGTATTCTAGCTAGCTATCCTGACTTTCGCAATAAATATTTCCTAAGTATAGTTTAAAATATATGCTCATTGTTAAAACATAGTTTCTAACAGCAGTTTACATTACAGTCGCGATTGCATCATGAATGTATCGAAGCTTACCGAAGATTTGGACGAGACGATATCTCCTTATCTGTATGCTGACGGAAAGCTCGTTCAAATACCAGTTTATCCTCGGAAACCTAATGGACATCCCATACAGGTATACAATATTTTACAGTATACACAATATTTTTCAAAATAAACATGATTTTATTCCAAAAAATAACCAATCATTTCAAATGAAATGTTTGTAGGCATAGATGTACAATTGACAAAAAATGAAGAGAAAATCATATTTCTATATTCAAAATTAAAAAATATTTTTTTCACAACTAATTTTTGTCTACAGTGCAGTAGGCGCACTAGATTTGCGCAAAGAAGTTGTTATTTGTATCTGGCATACAAATAATAAAAGTAACTATTTACGAATAAAGTAATTTTTTTTAAAATGTGAAAATGCTGATGATTTAGGTAACTTAATGGATCTTGCAATAACACAAAATGTCTACTCGTATTTCAAAGAAAAATCTTCTCCTTTTGTGTAGATACTGGGATATCATTATTTCCAGTGGGCAAACCTATCATTTGGGTTTTAATCTGTCTTTTACCTATCATTTGGATTGTAATCTGTCTTTCACAGGCATGTTTTTTAAGTATATACGTAATGACAGTGTTCACATTTTTAAAATCACATCTGTATGTTAGACGGGTATTTGTATCTAAATTGACTTGTAATTATTTTTTATATACAATATGTTTATATTTCCTTTTTTTAGCATTAAAAAAAACAGAACAGAGGAATAAAAATAAATATTTTTTTAGTCTAATATGTTACTAAATTTTGTAATGGAAGATAGAAACTTGATAACATCACCAAAAATGTTGTTTCCCGTGAATTAAACTGAATAATATTTGTAGAATGTTGTATTCAAACATACATCAGCCTATCAAATCTGAACCACTGCCTTTGACACACCTTGTATAACTCGAAAAAAAAAATTACATTGGTACTTGCTAGGTTTCGAATTCTCCTTACGCAAGAGGAGCCTTAACAGGCCTTTACCGGCCGGCGGCCGGGACACGATTTGTGCCAAACAATTTTAACAAAATAAAATTATTTGAAGTCTATTTTCACCGAACTAACATGTTCCTTCATTTATCATTCAAATTTTGACATTTATTAAAACATTTTTGCTCCTCGTTTTAATTTAAATAAATGTTTTGTAATATACCTAGTTTATTTTATATTTTTCATTTCAATGTAATTGTATCTAGATCTTTGATATTAAAACATTAAAATGTAATAACCTATTTATTATTTATAATAATATTTATATCGATGTATCTGTTTACAGAAAGGTACTTGGATTTCCAGTAAATTTAAACGATTCTTCATAATGGACAGATCTCTGTCGATAGTCACAAATACCACGAATTACGTATTCTTACGCACAATGGAGATGAAATTACAGTAAGTAAACTTTGCCTCCGTCTTAATAACAAGGTCCTCTTTTCCACGAAAAATAAAACATTATAAACATTGTAAATAAATGCTTGTAAATTCCCTTCGCATAGAACTATGTACTTAGAAATAGGGACTATATTTGTTTACTTTCTGCTTTACTTCTGTTTACTTACTCTTTCTGCCAGCGACTTTGTCCTTATCGTTAAAGAAATAAAGTATCCTTTTGCCTATACGACTGTTCAGCCTCCTCAGAGATAAAAAATGCTTCGTTGCTTCAAAAAAAAAATACTAAGAAACACCTTGTGCGTTCATAATAATATTATACCTAGCAGAGAGTCTAATTTTAATAAATTGGTCTATCTTTTATTTACATACTAATAACTAAAAAAAATATCAGTCAAATGGAAAATAAGGCTAGAAACATTTGCCGGTTAGTTAATTTATAATTATTCGTTTACAAACATACAAATTCCAGACACGAAACAATAATTTGTCACACACGGTGTTGTTTCGTGCGGGAATCGAAGCCGCGACATGTTACATAGCAGCCAGTTGACCAGTCACTACGCCAACTGTGCAGTCGTATCGTTATTTATTATTGCTTCATTCCACGTAGAATTGAGCGTGACAAAGCCTCTCCAAGTTCTCTGCGAGTGCAAGTATCAGTTGAAGTCAGTTACGCATCGAAGTCACCTTTTTCGGAGTCCATCGTTACGACTCTTAAGGTGACACATGTTATGCCTGAAGCAGGAGTTCATCGTGGACTGGAGGTAAGTTCTTTATTATCCCTATTTACCAGAAAATGGCCACTGCTCAAGAAAATCCACCATCTTAATTCATCCTGCCACACGTGATCCTAGAGGAGGAGAATGGCCGTGGTTGTTTTTTAGTCAGTGAGAGTCTCAACCACATTTCTTTTGCCTTCTTCACCCTTGACGAGAGGTGTCGTATGATGATTTTTCTCCCTCAAGAAAAACGACGTGACGTTATTAAGACGAAGCCTACCACTAGGCAAACATGCCCAGTTTCACAGTTTTTCAACTGATACATATAAGTTTATCAAAGTAATATTCTTATGTTCCCTTCAGACATGCGTCCTATCTGTCTTAAAAACTCATGAATGGCAATTAAATAACAGTGGATATTCTTTTACAATGCTTGAGTAAATATTTATTGTAAATAATTATTTCTTTTTTCGGCATAAGTATTTCGCCACCCTTGGGAGTCGGCTAAATAATTTATGGAATGGCGTCTCTGAGAATCTGAAACAGGAAATAATTTCAAAAATTAAGGCAATAAAGTCACCATCGCTCATAAAGTTGATGTCATAAATAAAGGTTTTCCTGACGTTAAACGGCAATATTTATTCTGTACTTTTTAAACCGAGACCATAAGATCGTTCAAATAAAATATTTGAACAATCTTATTTAAAATCCTACTTCCTACTATTATAAATTCCAAATGTAATTATAATGTATATTTTGAATTTGACGCAAAAACGGCTGGACAGGTTTGGTTGAAATATGGTATGTAGATATGTAGGTGACATCCGGGATTAACACATAGGCTTTTTGTCAATATACCACGCAGGCGAAGCCGCAGACAGAAGCTAGTTCATTATAATTAGAAACAGATATAGGTACTAAAAAACTTTGTTCACTTTGAATTCGATATTTTACAATTTTTGACCGGCATATTTATTTGTATTGTTTTGTAGATATGGGGAGGGGTTCTAGGCTGCCTGCTTACTTTGTACGCGATGGTACAATGGCGAGGAGTGGTCCGCAGAGGAGGACTCTATATCTCCGTCCTTCCTTTAATGGCTGCTGCTATTTCTGATACATTCTACTTCGTAAGTAAAAATAATAATTATATAATTATTGAGCTAAATTAAAAACTTGAGACAGTCCCATCTAATGTCGGTTAGGTATATGTATTGTGATGATTTATAATAGCTACGATTGTAACTTCGATAAATCGGGTTTTGATGGCCTATCGTTCTCCATCTTGTCCTGTTTTCGATGCTGTGAATGGCAACATTTATAAAATACACAACAATAACATCGATTTTAAGCATCGCCAGATGATACGCTTCGGTAATTTATTGTACGATTTGACGAAGATTGACAACTAGTGCGCCGGCGTAGAGGGGAGGGGATGGTGGGCTCAAGGCGACCAATTCAGGGGGTGCCATAGATCTTGGCACCCCCTGAACCAACTTCTGCAGTGCGCCTCAAGGATTGCAATAGGGGACTATTGCAAATCCTATCAAGGTGGACTCTAACGATATCTTTTATAGAATCAGGCGTTAGTTTGCGGAAATCCTTGACATTAAATGTTAGGAAAAATATTTAGTTTTTATTTTGCGACAAAAATCCATGTAAGACAGACTACCGATATACCTGTCAATACATGCATGAAGTAGTGAGCGAACCCTGTGATTCTGTCTTTTCTGTATAATATTATTGATAACTTGTTTTGAATACCCGTTTGAAATCGCGAAATTTTTGTCGCGAAATAAAAACTAAATAATCTGACGATATCGCTAAAATCGACCCATTTTTATGTAGTCTTGTGTTTTATACTATTTGACTATCAACAATGAAATATAATTGTTTCATTCAATAGTGAATTTGGCTAATTATTGTTTATGATACTATATATGTATATCTATGGCAGGCGGCGTGGTTCTCAACTCTACACGCTTTGGCAGCGGAGGCTGGTACTCTCGGATTGACGTTACCACTGTCGAGTGCTGAAGAACGCATCATCATTGCATTTGTATACACTGCTGTGTCATTGAAGGTTGGTTGACTATATGAGCCGCTAGCGTAGCGTCCCGTAAATAAGGTATTAAATATAGTACCCATGTCTAGTCACCATGACATTCAAAGTAAGATTTTTTTAAACTTGTATGTATAGCTCATTCCCTTGTTAGCCCCTTGGTGCTAAAGAAAATTTTTTCTAGAGCAAAATACTCTCTAGTTAAGGGTACCAGGCTAAGAAAATATAATTAACATAGGTATTTTAAAAAATCTGTAGGTTTTTGCATCATCAAAAGTACTTTGTAACAGCCACGCTTCGGTGTTAATGGACGTACCATGGTCATCACTTATTATGAATCTCCATGGGTAGTGTCGTCAGCCGGGGTTGCGGGGTAAGAGCAATGAGGCATAGCGACCTCGGCCCAGAGCAGAAGAAGGAACAGGGGGGCTTTTAGTCAATAAGAGTGTGACACTACCTTCCACCAGACCCTGGGCTGGAGAAGTCATTTTAGCCCATTTTTTGTCAGGGGAAAATTAATGATTTTCCCCTGACAAAAAAATGGGCAGTGTATACTTATCATTAGATAATCGGTCTAGAGGATTGCCGACAATTTTATCACTTAAAAACAATTACTTTGTCTTGTAAATGTCCAAAGGCTACGAAAATTTACCATCCGATTGAACTTAAATTACGGCCCTCGTAAACATATCTACCTTACTTATTAATACAAGTACAATAGTTATATACGTTCATTATTCGAACGCGATTCAAATGTTTTTTTTTTCTTTTATTTCTTTCAGGCTATTAAAGTGGCGTGGTTCAACTTTAAGCAATGTCGATGTGACGTGTTCTTTTTGGATTGGTCCGAATACAATCCACCATATAAAGGTATATATTAGAAACTGTCCATTATAAGTTATATTACTAAATCGGTCGATTAACAATATTTTTGTAGGAGCTGTGACAGAAAAATATAGCAATTGGAGAGCCTCCACTCTAGCCAGAGAGTGGTCCAGGATGCAGACTATGAGAAGAGTGTCTCCGGGGTATACCGCCAGCTTGGCCTTACTTGTGTTGCATGTACGTACTCGTAGGTTTTACTAACATATTTTCTTTTACTTCTTAAAATACCAGACAGCGTACTGTTAAAGGATAAACATCTTGCCATTTGTTCTGTATTCTGAGCTTGCCATATAACAACGTCAAAATGAAATGTAGGTACCTACTTTATGTTATTTCATTGACTGTAGTGTGGCTTATTTAGGCATTTGTTTCGTTTTTAAAACAATAACGACTATCGAAACTAATCTTGGATAAGGGAGCAGGCTTCCATTGTTTTTACTATTCAATTAATTAAACCCAAGTAACCACCAGTTCGGACCAGTAAAAACTACCTACTTTATACATATAAAGTAGGTAGTTTTTACTTGAAAAAGTAATATCTATTCATTCATAATAAAATTACAAAATTTTCTTTCTACAATAAATCCATATTTGAATGATATATTTTTATTAAAAAGTTAAATAACGATCGATTATCCAGTTAATATTAAAGTCCCAAGTTGCTGATAGGCTAATCAATTCGATCCCTGTCAAATGTGTCAACAGTTATGAATAAATGGGTAAATTAAAGAAATAGTATGACTATGTATACAATATTATTTGATGTGGGTATGACAGTAATTTCGGTTGCTAACTTGGTATGGGTTAATGACCTTTGCTATGTGCCATCTATATTTATTAGCATGAGGTCTTTTTTAATTTAATTAAAATGGCGAATATGTAAACAGTACTGTACTTGTTTTTATTATAACTTTCGTGAGACATTCTAAATTAATTATTATGTTTCCGGCTTACTTACAAAAACTAGTCGAGTACCTCGTCAAATTATTAGGTACGTGAGTAAGCCGAAAACATAATAATTAGTATTGTACTTGATTGAAAATCAAAAAATGTTGCGTCGATGACATTTAACGTGCATTATTGCCCATTTATGGCACAACTGTACGAGCTTCCAATGCCCAGCTTTGTTTCTTGCTCAAGAAAGTGGACACATACCAACAGCTAGGCCATTGCAAAGACAAACAAACTATTATACGTGATTTAGACAGGCAGACAAAATCGGTATAGATTTTTCATCAACAGTTACTTAGTCAAGTTTGTATATGTAGATGTCGATCGGCAAGGTGGCTGGCAGTGGTTGGATGAGAAGAGCTGAATGTCGAGCTCAGTGGTGTGCAATTGGGGAGGCCTATGTCCAGCAGTGGACGACAACAGGCTGATAATGACATATCGATTTCTCAAATAATGAACAGGAGATAACTCTACATACATTTATAAATTAACCAAAAACAAAACATACTTTTTTTGTTGGGTAGCTCGGCAAACGGATTACCTGATGGTAAGCAATGGGCGCCGCCCTTGGATTCCTGCGACACCAAAGGAGTTACGAGTAGATCTCCGGCCTTTTAGGGGATAAGGATTTCGGATATTTGAGGATTGGGAAGGGATGCTGAGAGGGACGGATTGGGCCTCCGGTAACCTCACTCACACGGCGCAACACAACGACGCTGTGATTGTTTCACACCGGTTTTCTGTGCGGCCGTGGTATCACTCCAGTCGAGTCGACCCATTCGTGCCAAAGCAAGCATGGCTCTCCTACACTTTAATTTATTTCATTATTACAACAGCTCCTGGAACCTTGGCGATCCTACCTTCCTCCAAGTCAAGGCTATAAGTGGGCAGTAGCCACAATAGCCTGGTGGTCATCATACATCACACTGCTGTCCTGTCGATGGGGGGTTGACAGGATACTGGGGTCCCCGACTACTGGTCTGCCAAAAATCTGCAGCAGTGTTGGACTATCGCTACTGGTGTTTGAAGAGGAACACTACGCTCATTATATTCATGGACGGTGAGAATAATTGTAATACTTCTTAATTTTTTTTTTTTTTTTGTAACTAGAGATCCGTCTCGTATTCGCACCGGTGGTACTAAATTTCTCTATTAATTTGATGTTATTACACATATAAATCTTTGTTAACAATTACTTTATCGAATAAGTAAAACCGCATTAATATCCGTTGCGTAGTTTTAAAGATTTAAGCATATATAAAGATATAGGGACAGAGAAAGCGACTTTGTTTTATACTATGCAGTAATAATAAAGCTCATTAATTGAAGGCTTGTTCTTCTATATGTATATCTTATATAAAATAATGTATGTTTACTTGCTTCTTGCCCAAACAAACCATTGGCTCATCTTTGCATCATCCAACGCTCAACCGGTAGAAAATTCCTAACGCGTTAAGCCCGCCCGTAGAGGATTTAACCCCGGCCTATATACCTACTTTGCATGAAATATAAACAAATAAGAATATGTTTTATTTGATTTACTATTATAGCATAGTTTCATATACTACTCAGGAATGATAGGAGTCACTGACAAATGTTTGAATTTTTAATATCGATCGATAAATATAATTTAAAATAAAAATTGTTCCACTGGTAACGATGGAAAAATTTTTGACTTTGGTATACCTATGGCGAACTCACAAGTTAGTGAATAATGATTTTGTTCAGGAACGATGACTCCAAAGATTTGAGGTCTATAGCGGGGCCGCTGGCTGCATGTCGCGTAGTCTGCGCTCCACAACTCAGGTACGTGACTGTTCTAAGTAATTAAAAGCTGTCTCTCCCCAACACCCCTAGACTAACGCGTTGTCAAATAAAATTAAATACAGGACTGTCAAAAGTTTTTGCATAATTTATCGGTTTTTAGTGTCGACTGTTGGTTTGAGTTTTACAATCACTCCTTCAAATAGCGGGCACATAGTCACGCACCTTCTATTTGATCATGTTTTGTTTTTAAGTGTATAACCTACATGTGTAATTAGTAAACATTTTTGTTACTCTGTTTTTTTTGGAGCAGTACGTTGCCGGCTTTTTCGGGATAAGAGATTTATGTATTCGGAGGGAGATAATTGGAGAGAAGAATTGGGCTTCCGATAATCTCACTCAAAAGGCGAAACACAACTCTGTGGTTGTTTCACGCCAGTTTTCTGTGTGACCGTGTTATCACTCCGGTCGATCCGACCCGTTCCCGTGGTCCGAATAACGGCATTCCCACACTTAGACTAGAAATGAATTATTTAATATCTGTAGTAGTAACAGATTATAAATGAAATTTTTATTTCAGGATCGTGTATAAACAGCTGTCCCTATCGATACCAGGTAAAGCCATTATTACAAACTAACTTAATTAATATTACATAAGGTAGGTATTACAGCGAGTATTTCCTGAAAGTCAAAGTTAAGGAGTTTGAGTTTGTTTCGGCATTTCTTCTCAGAGTAGTCAGATAGGAAATGCCGGCTTCATCTAGTTTTTCACATATAATTTGACGTGTAAAAGTGCCGTTTTATGGCCTATTTGCAAAAATAAATTCAGTGTTTTATCAAGGTAATCACAACTTACGGAATAGATTTTTTGAAAATAACGACTTACGTGGATTAACTTGCAGTGCAGCCGATCGAATGACGTGGTCACGACGCGCACGCTGTTCTTGTTCTCAATAAATTTAGTATTACTCACGATAGTCATGGAATATATATTACTGGAATTCCGAAACCAACGTTTCCAGAAGCTTTTTCAAATACTTATGAAGCATTTGAATGCCGACAAAAACTGTTGAAGGCTAACCCTCCGCTAGCATCGGACACCATTGTCCGACATGGCGTTCTAAGTGTGCGACTTAGTCATTAACGGCCAGACCATGTATGTCTCAAAGTAATTGCTTGCTTAAAACATTGACCGCAATGTAGGACACCGATGGACGATGGTAGGTGAGGATTACCTTCAACAGTTTTCTGTCATGTCGGCAGTCGAAAACTATAAAATTATTACTAACTAGCTACTCTCGCGCGGTTTCACCCGCTGCTCTGATCCATTTGGTCGTAGCGTGATATTTTAAAGTCTATAGCACTCAGGAACATTGTAGCTATATATCCGTGAAAGAATTTTGGAATTCGACCAGCCGTTCCAAAGATTACCCCCTACATACAAACTTACAAACGTACAAACATACAAACTTACTTTTACCTCTTTATAATATTAGTATAGATTATACTAACTTTAAACTTTCGCGTTTCATATTCACAACATGTAATTAGGTACGCGTGTATTAACATGAAAATTTATTTAAATACCTTGGTAGGCTTGTCGTTTCAACCTGGTTGCACAAGTCATGGTCGCAAGCAGACTGACAATCTAAAATGTTACATTTTCAGCTTTAGGAGAAACTGAATCTCGTCAATCGCTCTTATCCCGGTTCCTGGCAGCGTTCTTTGAAAGGGTAAGTTTGTTATTGAAATCAAACAAGAAAATATAAATATCGAATAGTTATAAATATAATGAGTAATAAACAATAAGACATTGTTGAAAGAGGTTTTGTTTTTAGGCGTTGGACGGCCTAAGCTGGGTTGCCAGTGAACGCACTGTATTAGAACGTTTACTTAACGTGGAACTGAATACGAGAGAGGCTGGCAACACTAGCACTTTGCTTTACGATCCCGATGAGAGCACACCTTCGTGTTTAGCTGTTACTTGGTAAGCACTGAGTTCTTAACTACTCGTTACTAGATCTAAGGTAGCTACGCGTCGCTATTGCGATGTTTTTCAGCGCCATCTATTGATATATTTTTGAAGTTTTTGTGTTAAGATAAGTCATTTTTTCTAGTAGTTTCTATAGTTTACGTTAAATGCTTTTGTAATTTATATTTGAAGGTGGGGAGAAGAGTGGTCTCTGGTAACATTTGAAGCCATGCTATTTGGTAGCCTGATGGTAGCGACAGATGAGCCTCTGATAGCTGTTTTGGTCACCCTCTTAGTGTGGCAGGTGAGACTTATTTAAAATTCACTTCGTGCATACAAAACTTTGGGAGGGTTATGGACCCGCTTCTCATGCATAAGGATGCTAGTTCAAAACTCACAAGTTACCTACCAATGTCACATTTTCCAAGTTTCCAGTTACATATATATGTGCTTTTTAAGATCCGTACCACTGGTTTGTGATGAAGGAAAAAATCGCAAAAACTTGGACTTAATTTCAAATTTTAAGAATAGCTATTCCGCTTGCAGGCTTGGTAATTAATACTCAATAACCATTTTAGTGTGAGAAGAGGTCTTTTCTTAGCAGTGGACACTTTTATGCTGTCTGTGATATGTTGTGGTGTGACTCTTCTACGAGCCACTATCACTACACTTCCTGCGCTCTCTAACGTCTTAACCTGCCCCCCTTGCCAAGCTCGGTGTCGATAATTGTTATCGCTGTAAAAACGAAACAAATATGGGCAAGGAGATTTCTGAAGGTCATCGACTAGTCACGTGGTAAATAAAGGAATTCTCATACCTTTGTTCTTTTCTGAAGCGATAACGAATATCAATTCTGAACTTGGCTAGGAGTCGCAGATCTTGTTAAACTGGGATCTCCAACCTGTCTGCCAAGCGTATACTCTATATACTATACTCTTTTATATCTAATTGGAAGGACATTTGATTCGATTAATTACAAAAAATAATTTTACTTTTGCTTCGAAGTGTACCAAACCTCAGATTTAAAAAAAAAACATTGACCCGCTCTTATATTTTGTCCTGTGTCGTGGGTGCTTTTACAACCATACAATTTCACATATACATGACACCCAGACCCGGAACTACAATTTGTGGATCACACAAAGAATTGTTCCGTGCGGAAATCGAACCTACACGCACGTTACGCGGCAGCTAGTTGCCCAGCTACCGCACCAACCGTGCAATCATATTATCTGACTAGTAGTGATTTGTTACATACATCGCAATCATTTTAGGATTAGCCACGCTGACCTAAGTTATCGTTTACACGTTTATACCTTTTGAATCAGACAACTGTCTTTCACAAAGGAGTATTTCAAAGCAAAAAGTTTGGATTTAAACCAAACCAGTTTACTTGTTAGTAAAATTTCCTTCAGTAATCATAAGATTTTTTTGCTTCACAGGTAATGATGCGTCTACGAAGAGGATTAGGAAACAGGAATCAGCGAGAAAAGACTGACATTCAAATGAGATAAGTCTTAAGAAACAAACCCTGTAAAAATGCGGTCACAATCTTTGTATATTCTGTTCTGGGCTATATTCTGTGGTGTGGTCATCCCACGGAAACTAAGAAGACCTCGTGAAACCATTAGTGATAGTGACAGTAGTGAAGACATAAGTGAAAGTGTAGATTTACAAAACGAACATCATGGAATGTCCATTGATATGCTTCTTGGTAATAAAAATACTCAGCCCCTCAGACATAAAAAAACCAAAACCTTGAATTATATAACCGTATCCCCGCCTTTCTTGGCAGTCACAAAGGCTCCCCCTGATCCTAAATTACCACGAGGACCTTTCTTTGGCTTTTTAAGAAACATTTGTAATGCGTTGATCTCGCCTAAGTTTAAGGTAAAACACCTCGGAAAATATTTTCATATACTCAGCAAATCTCTAAAAGGATTCGGCATAAATTTTATACAAAAAATATGGATAAGAAGATTCCGAAGAAAGTTGAAAAAGTACTCCATTTATAATAAAAAGAAGTTAAAATCTAAAGCAAAGGCATTTCTGGACTTCATATCTGATGGAAAACCTAAAAAGATAGCATATTTCGCGGCGATGGATGCTATATATTCAGTGGATGATGACAGGAAAATGGACGATTATGTCTATTTACTTAAAAATTATGGGAAAGGAGTTGTACGACACATAGGGGCTGAAACAAGACGCATATTCGAGCGTATTATTTTTGGCAGATATGACCGATTGGATGAAAACCGTCAAGATAAGATCGAACTGAAATTCAAATCTGCTGTAATCGAATACTGGGAGAACAGATTAAATAGGACTAATTACAATTCCACGCTGGACCATCTATTTAATTTCCCATTGAATCAGCCGTGACATTGATTCAACGGAAGGCTGCATTACTAACATGAACTGTCAGTCAGTATTAGTGCGGTACAATCATGAGCTCGTTGTATTTAAATATTATTTTATTCGCGTGTTCCATCAATACAGGGACTGCAATTAGTATTCGGGGAATAGTTGATACAAAAAATGCCAACAGTCCACTTTTGAGGCTGCCAACTTGGAAAGTACATCCCGAAATCAAAAGTGAAGGAATTTTTGAGAGGTTCGTTAGAAAATACCTCGACATGCTATCAACAGCGTTTACCGGTAAACAGCTCATAAGATATTGCAGGATGATGAGCAAAGAACTGAGTGGATTTGGCTTCAAATATACGGAGCAATTGGCGAAACATTTTAGGTATTTGTCGAGAATGTACCGCGACGGTATAGAACAAGAAATGGCGGAATATAGAAAAGAATACGACGAAAAATTAACAAACCGTCAAATTTTTTTGGACGCTATGAATGATATATTCACATTGCAAGAAAACTTAAGGTTCGACGACTACATCCACGACATGTTGGACTTCGGAAACGACCATATACCGACATTGGTTGAACAAACTAGGAATATTCTGCGTATGATAGTGGATTGCGTTCACAAATTGAGTGCAGGGGAGCAAAAGATATTAGAAAAGAAATTAGTCAAGGCGATTAAAGAATATGATGATAATTGAATAAGGTAATATACCTATTTGACCTGATTCATTGAATAAATAGAAAGCTTTTTATGGGATATTATTTTTAATTCAAATATATCAATAAATTAATAATTTTTTCGTTGTGATTTTCACTGCCTGCCCTACCAACTACTGCTGTCTCTATCATCAAAATATGAAAGGCCTTATTTCGGTTTTTCTAAAATTCTCAGCACAAAGATGAGGTCTGGAACTGGGTCGGTGTACTTATTGTATGCCGGCTCATTTTCCAGGGTACTTATATCTGTAAGGTCTTCCCCTATGGGACTTACCTATAATATCATCAAAAGAACAGAAGTGGTTCTTCAGCGTACCAAAGGCATGTATCTAGTCGTCCGACCAGAAGCAGACCCAGTCTTTTTTCGGCATGTTGTGTTCCGCGCGAGCCTTAAAGAGCCTACAGGGCTGATGTTCAGCCGGGGTTGCGGTATAAGCGCAATGAGGCACCTCGGCGTCAGCCCATAGCAGGAGAAGGAACGGGGGTTTTTAGTCATTAACAGTCTGACACACTCCCCCCACTCCTTCCCTCTAGGCAGGAGAAATTATTTGATGAGTTTCCGCTCACATAAAAAGGGTACCAAAGGCATGATTTTTAGACAAAAGAACTTCAGTAGCAACAGCAGTAATAATTGTAAATTATCGTTTAACATGTCTTTGTATTATTATGTAGATACCCTCCACTTTTATTATATCACCAGTTTATTTCGAAAAGTATGTGTATATAATACATAATACAGTAATATTCGATAAGCCACTCTTTAGTCAGTAAGTCATCGACAATTTACAAAGTTCAATTGATTAAAAGTACCTAAATACTTACCAGAAATAAGCGCACGGTTGGCGCGGTGGCTGGGCAATCGGCTGCCGGACTACGTGTCGCGGGTTCGACTCCCGCACAACTCTTTTTGTTATCCACAATCTGTCCCAGGTCAGGGCATCAGGTGTGTGTATGTGAAAATTAAAATGGTTCGTTTGAAAAAGCACTCAAGAAACAGAAGAAATGTGAGATTTAAAGAAACGGAAATATTTAAAAGTAAGTTAATATCTACATATATAAATGTAACAAGCTTTTTTTGCCAGACCAATGTTTGTTCGTTTATTTGTCTCTCTGATCTAGTAATTGACATCTCATTCATATCCAAAACTGAGACCAGCAAACTTTTGTCACATCCCAAAAAACATCAAAAGTAAATAAGTTTTCAGTGCATAACAACATTTGACAAACAATGCATTTTCATACTTAGCAATTACAAACATTATTTTTTTAGTTGAAAAGCTAGCTGAGTCTTTTTTCAGACAAACCTTGTAAAAGGATGCCGCGAGTTTTTTGATATTCTCTAGACAAGAGAGTACTGTCTGTGAAAGTGTTACTAAATAATTGCCTATTCGGAATCTAATCATTTCTCTTTTTATTTTAGTCAGCCCTGTCTTGTCGAGCACTGGTTTATGGTAAATACTAGATAGAATATAATAAAAAATAAATAACAGTTTTAAAAGTATGTTATACAATTTCACTTCCATTAAATCATAATAAAGTTGTTTTTAAAGTAGTTAGTATTTATAAACGAATGGGCATGGTAACATAGAATTCACAAATACATCACATAAAACATCACATTAAATTTACGTTACCTATTTGATAAAACTATGACAAGAATGAAAAATACACTTATCTTACGCGATGACATAAATATCGTATTTTTATTGTTTTTTATAAAACCGTAAAAACCGACAAGTTAACGAGAACAGACTTTTTTACCATAAACAACTATCATTACTCTGGCAACACTAGGATCATCGACGAACAAATGAAATACGGCAACGTCACGCACGTATTGAAGTTGGTAGAGCACTGACCTCTATAATAACGCTGGACTGGCTATTGGTACCAACTTTTTGTGCCTATTTGAAAATCGCCATTTTGGCGCTGACGGCAGAAGTGAGGGGGAATGGAACTAATACTAGTGTTGACAACAAATGGTTTGATATCGATAAAAACTTTACTGATATCGACAACAATTACAAAAATATTACTGACGATATTTTTAATATTAAATTGGTTTAGAATCTAAATTATTGAATAAACTGGCTGTACATAGGACATATAGGTACATAAGATATTTTTTTTAAATATGGTTTGTAACATAAAATACGTTCAGACTTAAATAACTATCACACAACACCATCTAGTCCCAAGTTAAGCAGAGCTTGTGTTATGTATCAGACAGCTGAGTGGGAATCGAACCCATGATCTGCGGCATAGCAGACAGAGCCACTTACTACGAGACAAACAAACTTATCTGTAATAGTAGTATCTACTAGTTTCTGGACTGTAATCAATAGGTATCACGTGTCCGGTTGACCCGTTCTTTCATTTCATTGTTCTTCTTGATTGGATAAAAGTTCACTATTGAATTAATAAATAATAAAATTACCCTTCATAGAATGTATTATACACTCTATGGTAAGGGATTAATTTGCTTGCGCATGGCGACGTGGGATATCTAACTAGTAAGATATCCCATGTCGCCATGCGGCACAAGACACAATAATTACTATTAGATCTGTAATTACGGTAATAAACTTCTAACAGCTTAACTACTGCAAGGGAAGGGACAGGGAAATTAAAAAAGCATATTTAAATCACATATTTTATTATTTAAAATATATCGTCGAGCCCATTTTATCTGCTGGGTCAAAAAATGTCTTACTTTCTCTCCAGTTACTAATAAAAAGTATTTTTTTGTTTTTGCGTACAAATGGATGTCAATATATTTGGTTATTATTTCTTTTAAAAGAACATGATTATGAAAATTGTCTGAGACATAACAGACTGACTCTCAAGTGATCTTTTAGGAAACAGTTCATTGGTTTTCGTTAAAAGGTTGCTTATTGACTTTCATATCGATCGAATTATAAAGCCTCATTAATATTAGAATCAGGTATTGAAACTTTCGACTGAGAAACCTGGATTGGCCTCAATGGAACTATACCATGAGCGTATCACACGAGGATGAGGCAAAGCCAAATTAAACCTATTACGCACATATGCATATGCCTTTGGCGAATAAAAATGTAAAGAAATGGCAAATTATCTTAATTCTGGAGATTACTTTAAACGTTTTACATTTTTGGTTATTCTTTTAAAAAGTTGTGGTTTGAAATCATCATACTGATTTAACATATAAACACAATCATCACATCCCAGTTTCTTTTGGTTTAAATCAGCAATTACAGATTTTAAAGTAGACACAGTAATTTTCATACGTTTAATATTTTGTGACAATACTTTAATTCGAGCTTGTGACATTTTCAAGGTTTTTAGACCCTTTCCAATTTATTTTTTGAAGATTTTGGGGTGTTCTCGTAGCTGTGATCTAATTTGACACTAGAAATAATTTCCGCTAAAGTTCTAGATTCTGTTGGTGTGCTACAGTAGCTTGTGTTGTAAACTTGTAACTTGTGCTTGGAACTGTAACAAGAAATTATATTTCATTATTTATATTATTCAAAGAAAGATAATAATTAGATACCTAGTAAAAATATGTTTCAAAATATTGGGAAAGGTATGTCATCATCATCATTTGAACGGAAAGATGTTCACTGTTGGACATAGGCATAAAAATCCTTAAGTGTACATAATTTTCACCTCTTAAAAATTGTTTAGTATTTACCCACTGTTAGTTGCAAACTTAGTACTTCAGCAAGCCATGCTCAGTATTTATAAAATTTTCTAAAATAACTTACCTGCAAGGGCTTCACATGGCAACATTTACTTTTCATGGACTTCATCATTTAGTAACCCAACTTGTACAGGTACTGATGGTGAATTAAATTCATCCAAGCTCATTTCAATATCTTTCTCGCATTGGTATTCTGTTGGTTGATCAGCTTTTAGACATCTCAGTTTGTAATAAGGTTGAATTGGTTTCTGTAAAAATGTGTTATTTTATTACAAATATATATACTTAAATTTAGGTTTGGTAGATCACTCAATAAAATTATTAATCATAAATGTTAAATTATTCGTTATTGACTCTGATAATTATAAACCTTGCAGTGTTTTGCTATTATTAGAGATCATTATATTGTGCTTATTATTATTCTACAATGAAGGTAAATATTTTTATTCAATTAAATTCTTATTTAGGCCTTTGTGGAAAACACCACAATTTTGCCAATAATACTTATGAATTGTTAAAAAACCATAAAGAGCTGTGTCGTATTTGACGCAAATTAATATTAAAAATATAAAATATTTTAATTATGAATAAAATAAAACATAGCATTACTGGTTTTATTACTCCAGACGAAAGTATCGATATATGAACTTTACCATCCCTATCAAAAGTTATTGGTTATAAAAATGTTCGTAAAATCCCATAAACTCGAACTGTTTACGTTTATTATTGAAAGAATACACTGCTTTAAGCGTTTCCTACTAAGTATTTATATTTTAGATTCACTTACTTGTGAAAAGTGACGCCACTGCTCTTTTCGTATCGTATTTCACAATATACGCACGATTTCATGTTGGTCCATTAATAGAAGCTATGATACAATAACTGTCACTATTATAACACTTAATTTATGTCACAATCGCAGTAAATACTTTAAAAAACGTATTATTCCGCAAAGATACTTCGCATTTAAACAACAAACAACGGCCATTTGCAATTTAATTAGTTCTCAGTACTCTCACCGGGGCGCTTTGAATCGGCACAGAAAATAGCTGTCATTTTGTTAGGGATAGCCAGTCCAGCGTTTATTATAGAGGTCAGTGTGGTAGAGTGATTGTTCATTCGGCGTTCTAAAAACTAGTGAATTTACAAATTGTAATTTATATTTTATTATAAAAATGGCAGATAGTAAAGGGTAAGCATATAATTATTTATAACATATTTGCATAGCTTAATTGAATGCATTGTTTTACTATAAATCGAAGCGGTACACGGCAAATGATTCTTCGAAAATTGGCT